TTTACATAGACTTTCGGGTATATATACGACGGGTACATAATTAAGGACACTGGACTTATAGTCTAACGATTTCTCAACTTCTCAGACTAATTACCTATATTTATTACATATCCCACAATTTTAGACAATATTCACGTTAACGCAATTTGTACCTTTAATAACATTCACAGCAATAATAATAATAATAAATAAAAATATGTGTTTTACGTTCTTCTTTTTACACTAAAGAAAAAACATTTATTTGACTCACTCTCTAAATTTGAATTAGTAAAAATATTTACTAGCTTGAATTAGTGACTGACTCTTTACTGGGTGGTCACAAGTTTCAATTTATCAATTTCCCTGATAATTTACTGATATTAAAATTATTTTCCCTGACAAAATTCTTTTCACAGGAAATAATATGAAAGTTTAGGGAAAATATGAGTAAAATTAATAAAATTTAATAATTTCTAAAAATTACAATCATAACCTTTCCTGAATTCAATTATTTTCTATAATTTTCAACTCAACTTCATCTCTAAATCGATTATTTTAAAAAAAATTTTCGAAAGTTCTTCAAGAATTAAATTATTTAAATACGAAACTTTAATTTTTTTTATAATAATTGTAACTGTCCAAACTTTTTTCTTAAGTTTATTATAAGGTATAATTTTTTCAAAAAAATAAAAATAATCAAATTTTTGAAGAATTTTAATTATAAATATGATCATGATTTATCTGAAATTTTAATAAGTCTAAAAAAGTAAATTTATTTCCTTTATTCGAATATAATTAAATCTTAAAAAATTGTGATAAAAAAATTCTAAGAATTAAGTAGTTTTTAAAAATATTTTAATGTGTAATTTTTCGAAAACAATTGAATTTCTTAAAAGAGTTTTTGTATTATTTAAAAAAAACTAATTAATTTTTTGATGAATTTTAATGAAATATTTTGAACATGATTTTTTTCTCCAAAATGTTAAAAATAATTCTAAAATGTAATTATTTTTTGTAAGTATTTGAATTTTTGGAAATATGTAATTTAATCTTCATTATTAAGTTTACGTTTAAAGATTTTTCATTAAAATTTTTGATAATTCAATTATTTTGAAAATTTGCAATTAAAATTCTTCAAAAGTTGATTTTTTAAATTTCTATACTTAAAAAAAAATTTATTATTTTCAATTAAATTTTCAAAATGTACAATTAAAAAGATTTTTAATAATTGAAATTTTTTAAAATTTAATTGAAAATAATTTCTTTCTTTCAAGTATTTTATTAAAATTTTTGAAAATCAACTTTTGATGAAATTTAATTGTAAATTTTCAGAAAGTAATTGAAATTATCAAAAATTTTAATGAAAAATCTTTAATCAAAGATTTAAAAATGAAAATTAATGAAAATTAGATTTTAATTTTTTTAAATTTAGTATTTTTTCAGTACTTTCAATTACATATTTCCGAAAATTCAAATACATACAAAAAATAATAACATTTTAGAATTATTTTTAAAATTTTGGAGAATAAAATTAAGTTCAAAATGTTTCATTAAAATTCAACAAAATATTAATTAGTTTTTTTAAATAATACAAAAACTCTTTTAAGAAATTCAATTATTGTTTTCAAACAATTACATTAAAATATTTTTAAAAACTACTTAATTCTTAGAATTTTTTTATCATAATTTCATTTATTTCGAAGAATTTGATTAAAATTTTTAAGAATTATTGCATTTTTCAAAGAATTCATTTAAAATTGTATTAAAAATAATTGAGATCCTGCAATGAGTTTTATTATTTATAAAAAATTGAATCCTCGCGAAGAATTTTATAAAAAAAATTTTAAAGAATTGAATTTTTTCAAAAAATTTGTGAAAATTGTGTTTTAAAATAATTGAATTCCTGTGAAAATTTGATTATTTATGAAAATAATAATTGAATGCTTGCAAAGAATTTTATAAATTTTTTATAAATAATTGGATTCTTTTAGGACATTTTTTTATTAAAATAGTAGATATTGAAAATAATTATGAATTCCTGCGATGAGTTTTATTATTTATAAAAATTTTTAAATATTTATGAAAATAATTGAGTGCTTGCAAAGAATTTTATAATTGTTTTTAAATAATTCAATTATTTTGGAAATTTTTTTTATTAAGATGGTAAGATATTGAAAATAATTGAATTCCGATAATGTTTTGAAAATAATTGAATCTTTTCAAAGAATTTTATTAACATTTGTTGAATTATTTTTAAGAATTTTATTAAAGTTTTTGAAAATAATTTTTTTATTCCAACTGTATTAGCGAATTGAAATTATTTTTTATTTTTATTTTATTTTTAATAATTTTACGAAAGTTATTGAAGGATTCAATTATTTAAATACAAAAATTTAATTTTTTAAATGTTAAAAAAATAATTCTAAAATATGTTAATGTTAATATTTTTTGTATGTATTTGAATTTTCGAAAATATGTAATTAAAAATATTAAAAATAATTAAATTTTAAAAAGTTTAGATAAAAAAAAATTCTAAGAATTACTTTTCCCGAAATATTTTATTATAATTTTTAAAAGTTAATTTTCATTCATTTTCATTTTTAAATTTGCACTTGAAGAATTTTTATTGAAATTTTTGTAAATTCAATTATTTTCCAAATTTGCAATTAAAATTCTTCAAATTTTAGTTTTTCAAAAATTGTTACAAAATACTTGAAAAAACCAAGAATAAAAATAATTAAAAAAGATAATATTAAAATAATATACTAATTAATAATATTAAGTACAAAAATTGATCAACTAAATATGTATATAAATTATTAAGATTAAAGTTACATTAACATATAACTTGAACGAAAAAAGAATTTTAATAAGTATTGATTAAATGTTTAACACGCAAAGTTGACGGAAGTTGAAAGGAGAAATCTGTCGTGTGTTAAACTAAAGTACCGTTTACAATTCGAAAAATTAAGAAATAATTACAAAAAAATATGTATGTAAAACTAATAAAATTATCTTTAAAGAAAAATTGTCATTTTTTTATTAAGTATACGTTTTTTCCTAAAAAAATTTTTTTTCATGGTAATTTTACCAAAAGAGATAAAAAAAATAATAAAAGGTATTATTTGACGACAAACTTAAAGTACAAATAAAATGTATCATTTTAAAGAGAACCAATAAAGGCCCGTTTTTCGCCAAGGCCAAACATACGTAATAAAAATCACAATTGTTTTGAATATCAACTTTTTTTTACTTCTTTTTTATTTAAATATATTTTATAATAATTATTTATTTGATAATAAATTTATAAATATTTATATATTTATAAATATAAATATATTTAAATTTATTTATAACTTATTTTTTAATATTCAACTTTATTTATTCTTATTACCTTTACTTAAAGATTTTACTTTCTATCGATTATATAAACATAAATCTTTAACACCTAATCATTAAGACAAATGCAAGTATATAAAAATATTTACTTTTTCAACTACTTTTTTTGTCTATATAAATTAAATAAATTTAAATTATACGTTGCAGTTTATTAAATCGTTATACAGTAAATAAAAAAAATTTTTTTTAAAAAAAGTTGCTAAAACAACTTCTTTTTACATGTAATCTTTTTCAAGGAATGTATATAGAATTCTTAGTATAAACGGCTGACATATTGCTTTTAAGTACACATGCACTCAGACCGATAGAGTAAGGTTAGAATATAAGGATATTTAGTCATTGGGAAAATTTCCGCCGCGAGTCAAAATTTCTTAAACAAATATAACAAAATATTATCATTTTTAAAAATAACAGAATAAACAATAATTTCCTATTTAAATTACATGTAGAATTCTCATGTAAATTCCCGTTCAAAGTAAATAGAAGCTATTGTGAAATTTAACTTTAAATCAAAAATAGTTTTTATTAATACAAAAATTTTTCTTTTTAAGTCAATAGAAAATAAAATAAAAACACAAATTCAGAGACTAAACAAACAAAATTAATGACACATTACAATCTAAGGGATTTAATGAGAAAAAGATTATAATTTTAGTAAACAGATAAGAAATCCCACATAATTTCCAAGACTAAATTCTTCAACAAACCTGTTGCTTCAAAAGCGTGAAATTTAATTCGAAAATAACCATTTCGAAAAAGAATTTACATAATTGATAATATTTTCATATTTTCAAAATGTTAAAAAATAATCAATTTAATATCAAGGTTTTCTTGATAATTGATAATATTCTCATGACCTAGTGAGGACTTTGTCAATAAAATTCTTTTATTTGAACATTTTTCCTTAAACGATTTAAATGGAGAAAAAAACGATAGTTTGTTTGCAAAAATAATAATTACTTTAAATAATAATTACTTTGTTCGATGAACATTTTACAATATGTAAAATATTAATTATTTTTAGTATAGTAGATAGTTTTTCAACAAGTATATTGGAGGTTAGTTGAAATGGTTTTACAAGTAAATTTGCAGAATTGCAAGAAAAAAATATTAATAAATATGATAAATATTAAAAACAGTCTACTCACCAAGTGCGCCTGCTCTTTTTTACAAATGAAAAAACACTTTGAATTAATAGTACGAACAACATAACCCGCGTACGAAAATGTATCAGCCATATTGTTTACTGGCCCGACTTTACAGAACACAGAACACACTACTATTACTATAAAATACTATCGCAATCATTCCGCAAACCGCACCAGTACAACAGTACAGCAAGAAAAATACGAAAAATACCAACTAAAAGCACCAAAATAGTCACGGACTGTAATGAGAACGTGAACTCTGTACTGAGAAAACACAAACTGCAGAGTTGGGTAGGTGGAACTTTTGGCGCTCTGTTCAAGCAAGGTTGGGTAGTTGGCCACAATGGACAAGTTCAATCGAATAAGGGTGTGTTCACAATCGCAACTCTTTTAGTTCGAAAATCGAAATTTAAACCTCCTACCCAACTATGCTCTGTCAAAAATATTTTCAATCGCATTTCGTAAAAATGAGGTTAAAGAATTAAATTAATTTGATTAAATGAATTAAATGAATATTTTAATAATATTACCGGGGTGTATATTAGTGTTAATTAATTTTCTTCGAAATCAAAATTAACATTCGAATAATTATAAATTGAACATGTATTCGATAAAAACACCAACACTTCGCATTGACGAGTCGGATTTAAAATGCAAAAATGGTTGCGATTTTTTTGGAAATGCTGAATGGGAAGGATATTGCAGTCAGTGTCATCGGGAACATTTGCAAAAGCAAAGAGCCCAAAGGGAACACGTTCAACGAGTACAAAGTCGAGAAAGGTATTGAGTTTTCAAGTATTTTTTTAACCAAAAAAATATACATTGTATATATCAATAAATCAGTTTGTCCTCTTGTTAAATAGATATTAAGAACAATGTTTCATTAATTCTTTCAGTGAAACTTCTAGCAGGATAGAGAAGAAACGTCAACAAGATAAGAAAAAATTAATTAATCTTTCAGTATTTCGTAAACCTTCATTAAGAGGTAATTTTACATTATTTTGAAAGACCTATTTTTACAACCAAGTTGAAGTCCACAACGTAAATCAACGAAAAAAATTGTTTAGTTTGTAAATTAATTAAAAATACGCAGCAATATTGACACAAAAATATTGATGCTTATATTTTGATAATAATTATTTTACAATTAAATATTAAATTAAAAATAATACTTGAAAGTATTGAATAAATTTTTTTCGTTGATAAACGTTGTGGACTTCAACTTCGTTTTTTACATCTAATGTCCAATGACTCACAAATCTTCATATCAGATATAAAAAAATTCGAATATAAAAATAAAATATTGAAATAAGTGAAATAAATTCAAAATTTCATTTTAAATTAAATTGTTGAAAAAAAATTTTTAAGTATAATTACAGCAGGCTTCACAGTCTGTCCCCTATTTCCCTAAAAGTCCTCTTTTTTTAATTCTGGCCCCTAAACGTACCCTATTTTGAAAATTTCCCCTATTTTTTTCGTCGCAGGAAATCAATTATTTTCAATAATTTTTAAGTAATTCTGCAAAAGAATTCAATTATCTTGATAATCAACAAAATTCTCCCCATAAAATCAATTATTTTAGGAGGTTAAAGTTTTGAACGTTCAAATGAACGAAATTTATTTATTTCTTCTTCAAATTAAATTTTTATTACTATAATTTTGCGTGACTATTAAGCAAATTAATTATAATGTTTCTAAATGTAAAATTTGAATTTTTAATTTGAATTGTAATCAATAATCTATGAAAATATTTTTAACAAAAAATATTTCGTTCATTTGAACGTTCAAAACTTTTTGTTCATATTATTTTAAGGATTTTTATTGAAATTCTTTTCCAAAATTCAATTATTTTGATAAATATCAAAATTCTTCTCAAGAATTCAATTATTGTCAAAAATTTTAATTAAATTCTTGGCAAAATTTCAATTATTTAAACAAAATTTATTTAATAAAATACTTTGCACGAATTCAATTATTTTTATAAATTTTAATGAATATCTCATCAAGAATTCAATTATTTTTATAAATAGCAAAATTTTTCGCCAAAAATTCAATTATTTTCAAAAATTTAAATAAAATTCTTTGCAAAATTTCAATTATTTTCAAAAGTTTTTCGCAATTCAATGTTTTTAAATATTTACTATTTTCATAAAATTTATCAACAAATTTAATTATAGAAAAAACTTGTTGATACAATTCTACGAAAATATTCAATTATTTTCATAAATAATAAAATTTCATTTACGAATTCAATTATTTTCATCGCAGAATTTCAAATATTTTCAATACAATTTTAAATAAATTCCTTGAAAAAGTGCAATTATTATTAAAAATTGTATTAAAACTTCTGGAAAGAATTCAATTTTAAGAAACATTTAATTATTCAATAAAACAATAAAATTCGTTGCAATAATTCAAATATTTTTATAAATAACATTTAATTCGTCGCAGAAAATCAATTATTTTCAAAAAAATTTTAAGTAATTTTGCAAAAGAATTCAATTATCTTGATAAACAACAAAATCGCATAAATTGCTCCCATAAAATCAATTATTCTAACGAATTTTAATAAAATTCTTATCCAAAATTCAATTATTTTGATAAATATCAAAATTCATCACAAAAATTCAATTCTTTTGAAAAGTAATAAAATACTTTGCAGAAATTAAATTATTTGCAAAATACTTTAAAAATTCTCGTCAAGAATTAAATTATCTTTATAAATAGATTGGAAAATTCTTCTCAAGAATTAAATTATTGTAAAAAATTTTTTTAAAATTCTTCTGAAGTCAATTATTTTCAAAAATTTTAATAAAATTCTTCTCATCAATTCAATTGTTTTCAAAAATTATTATTTAAAATCTTCTCAGGAATTCAATTATTTTTTAAAAATGTAATAAAATGCTTTAAAAAGTTTTCAATTATTTTCAAAAATTGTTATAAAATTCTTTAATATAATAAATTTAATTAAAATTTTTATTAAATTCCTTAAAAGAAATGAAATATTTTCAAAAGTTTTTAATACAATTTTTCGTAAAAATTAAATTTTAAGAAACATTCAATATTATTTATTTTTGTATTAAAATAATTGATTTCTCGTAGAATTAAATTATTGTTTTTTGTACTATTAACTAACAATTCTGTAGAATTAATTTATTTGGAAAAGTTTAATTGAATAATAATTGATGTTATTGATTTAAAGTAGAATTTTAGTTAAAAATTCTAGAAAATGTTAATTGAATTGAAATGATACAAATAATTTTTTGAAGAAATTACAGTAACAATATTCTTATAATAATAAAATAATGATCTTGTCAGTCGGTCATCTTTAATTATTATAAAACATAAAGAAACGGATCACTCCGAGTCTTTGACTCGGAGTGATCCATTTCTTTATGTTTTATAATAATATTCTTATGAGTTGTTCAATTTGAAAAAATTTGAATTTAAAATTTTTGAACATCTTAATTCCAATGAAAAAAAATAATTAAACATTTATTTTAAATAAAAGTATTTATTATTTTCGAATAATTTTACTTTTGAAGAAATTTGTAAGTAAATTTAATAAAACATTTTTTTGAGTATCTAATAATTTTTAGAGTGAATCAGAATATTCTTTAGGGTCAGGGAAAAAGTCAAAGTTGTATTTGGAAATCAGGGAAAAGTCAGGGAAAAATAAAGTTAAATTTTTGTGGCAACCCTGTATAAATAAATTATATTTTTATCATTATTTAACCAATTTTTATGGTCCCCTAAAAGTCCCCTATTTCCCCTAAAATACTTTTTAGGGGTACTGTGAAGCCTGTATTTTTACATCTAATGTCCAATGACTCACAAATCTTTATATCAATATAAAAAAAATTCGAATATAAAAATAAAATATTGAAATAAATTCAAAATTTCATTTTAAATTAAATTGTTGAAAAAAAATGTTAAGTATATTTGCAGTTTAGAAATATATTTTTTTTTCCAGCTACTGGACACGATGAACTTCTTAGGGATTTATTAAAGGATAATCAAGATCTCGAAAAAATAAAATATGAAAATCGCGATCTTATTTCTGTTATTAATAAAACACGTGCCGAGAGAGATTTAAAGAAGTGCATGAATTTTTTTGTCAACAAAATTCTCCAGAACAAAGACAAAAGAATTGAAGAATTATCTGAAATAACACAAAATTTTTATCAAGATTTCGCTAAACAAATGGAAAATAATTCTGATTATAATGGTAATTGTAGTAATTGAGTATTTTAGAAAAAAAAAATGGTATCAGAAAAGTTCTTTTTTTTATCGATTTTGAAGTTTACTGAAAAATTGCATAATATTGCAAAATATTAGAAAATATTAAAAAATATTAGAAAATTACAAAAGGTAATAAAAATGAGTTTAAAATATTACTTTGTAGAATTCTCAGCGGAAATTAAAGAGAGACTTTTGGATTATATTGAAAGGTATACAATGACCCTTTTGTATAGAATTCTATTTTGCTCCGCCTATACCACCGACGAGGAGAAGGATTTAGCTATTCAGAATAGGTACGTTTTTTTCTAATTTCAAGATTATTTAAATTGAAAAAGAAAATCAATTAAAAATTAAACCATTCTTTATAATTCACAGAATACGGCAATTGAATTGGGTGAGTGGTAAAAATTTGGAATGTAGAATTCATGAAACAAGTGCTGAAGTTCGCGAATTGGTTTATACATCTATAACAGGTTAGATAATTTTCTCTAGAATTAAAACAAACATCTGTTACCTTTTTTCACCTTTTTATACTTTTTTTTAATTTTACCTATTTCATCTACTCCGTTAATTTTCACCTATTTTATCTATTTTTCAAACTTTTTAAATTAAACTTTTTAGTTTCAAGCTAAACTAGTTTAAAAAATTTTTTAATTCATTTATATTTCAATGAATTTAAATTAATTAATTTTAATTAAAGTTTTATTGAAAATAATTTCATTTATATTTATAAATTTATCCAAATTTTAGAAAATTGAATTCTTTTGAAGAATTTTATTAAAACGGTTAAAAATAAAAAATAATAATAATTAATCAGTTAATTGTATTTATAATTTATTATAGTAATTCTAATTTTTTTTTTTGTCACTTATATTTAGAAAATAATTCACGTTTTCACTTATTTTAAAGGAAAAAGATACTGTGATCCCTGAGACATATGCAAAATTTATATATTGTAAAATATATAAATAAATTTATATATTATAAATAGTTTAATAATTAAAAACTTTTCATTTATCGTTTCTAGATCTTTTAAATATGGATGCATCGAAGGCACCGCAGGAAAAATTAGCATGCATTGTTCGTTGCTGTAGAAATATTTTTCTACTTTTGCAACAATCCGTCGGTGGTCCCGCTTCGGCTGATGAATTTTTGCCAGCATTAATTTTTATCGTCTTAAAAGCAAATCCAGTTAGACTAAAGAGCAATATTAATTTTATAACGAGATTTTGTAATGCAAGCAGATTAATGACAGGCGAAGCGGGTTATTACTTTACTAATTTGGTAAGTTATTAGAAAAATTTGAAACTCATTAGTTTTCAATTTTATTTTTTGAAAAAAATGCAGAAAAAAGTCTAATTTCTAATAATTTATCCATGGACTTTTATTTTTAAGAAAATGGTTAAAATGAAATAGAAGAATAATTGGTAGATTTAATAAACAAATGAATGTATTTTTTCAGTGCTGTGCTGTCTCATTTATCGAGAATTTGACAGCCGAATCGCTGAGTATGACAGAGAAGGATTTTAATGCCTATATGTCAGGTGAAAGAGTTCCGGCAAATACTTGGGATTCAGCTTTAATGATATGCGAGGTATATAATATATTTTATATTTTCTAATCATATCATAATTTTAAATTATTTAATTTAATGTTTATTAAATGACAAATTATAGAATCTACATTTAATGTGCGAAGACGTAACACTGTTGGACGAATTGAAGAAAAAGAACGAGAATATCGTTAATGAAGCGTATGAATTGCAGAATAATATGATTAAATTTAGGGAGAGAATAGAAGCAGAGGTTAATTCCGTCATTACAAAGACGCCTCTTATAATAACTAGGAGTCAAAAAATTCCTACTAATTTGGACACTGAAGATATTGAGAGTTATCAATTGCCTCCTCCCATCGTTCCTCAGGTAATGTTACATTTTTTAAAGATGAACATTCTCGTTAGTTAAAAATTAAATCGTTAATTAAATTAAATTTTACAAGAACTTTCTTAAAGTTAATTAATTTTAATTTAAGTACCTGAAGTTGACATCGATGCTCAGCATCGAAAAATATTTTTTGTACGAAACGGAAAAAAATGACTCAATTTTTCCCAAGGTTTAAGGTATAAAAAGTACTCTTAAAAAGTTATTTACTTCTTAGGTGAATGAAAGAAGTAAAATTTGTTAAAATATTATCACTAAAAATAAGAAAAAATAGTTTTCGATGTAGAGCATCGATGCCAATTTCAGGAACCTTTTAGTTAACTCAAAAAATATTTTAGTTAAAAATGAAACTAAAAAAAAAATAATTAAATCTGTTACAAAATTTCATTAGAGATTTAAAAAAACAATCGAAAATCTTAAAGAAATTTAATTTAATAACATAAACAAGTAATTTAAATTTTTTGAATTAATAGAAATTCTGTAAAATTCTATTAAAAATAATTGGATTTCTTAAAATAATTTTAGTGAAATTTTTGAAAATAATCGAGCGAAGTTTGCCACAGTTACTAATTTTATTTTTAAGTAGTATTTGACTTTTTTTAGGCAGATCAAGGAAAAAGTTAAAATGAAGAAAAGACGTGAAAATTTAGCTATTGAAAAATTAAATTTGACGACTCAATTTTTTCATACATTTTAAATGAAACTATTCAAAACTTTAATCATTTTAAGTCAAAATAATAACTTAAATATTATTACAATTTTACGAACAATTCCAAATTTTCAAAGATTTCAACTTAAAAATCTTTTGAAATTTAATTATTTCATAAAATTCCTGTTATAACGCTTTTAATATTCAATATTTTGATAATCAATTCTTATTAGAAAGTTCTACGAAAATTCAATTATTTCAATACAAAAATAAAAAAATTATTGCCTATAGGCAAAAAAAAAAAAAAAAAAATTATTGCCTACAGGCAATAATTTTTTTATTTTTGTATTGAAATAATTGAATTTTCGTACAACTTTCTAATAAGAATTGATTATTAAAATATTGAATATTAAAAGCGTTATAACAGGAATAAGTATTTTTTTTAAATAATTGAATTCTTTCGAAGAATTGTAATAAAATTTTGTAAAATAATTCCATTTTTCATTTAAATTAATTTAAAATTGTATTAAAAATAATTGAAATTAAATTAAATTTCAATGAAAATTATATTAGGGTAGAGTGGGGTAAAAAAGCCATGGTGTAAAAAAGCCATTTGAGTTTTATTTAAAAACTATTAAGCCGATTTATCAGCTGTTTAGAATATAAATACTATTAGGTAATACGCAACTTTTGAATCTAGTTTGAATGTTGTACCTAGATTAATATTGTTTTTATTGTAATTTTAATTTTTTGTTGCTTTTTTGAAAACATTTTGGTGAACTTTTCAAACATATTACAATTTGATTAAGTGAACGAATAATAAAAGTAAATGTTTGTACATAAGGAGAAAAGTATACCGAAAACGTATACAATGTTGATTTTTGGAAATTGAACTGAATTAACAATTTATTTTTGCTTTTTTTAATAACTGGTCTTGGGTGTAAAAAAGCCAGGGCAAAAAATCCATTGAATATTTTGTGAACTTCACTTGTTTTCTATTTAAACTAACCTTCTTATTTTACAAAATTTCTCGTGTTTATTTAATAAAATAAATTAAACACGACGAAAAAGTAGTTCAAAGTGCATTTAAAAAATAAACAATGAATAAACGGTTGCAACGAAATATGTTATCTTTGGTAAAACTTAAAGAGAATTTCTAAAAAAGGTACGAAAAATTGGCAGTGCAAATGGAAAACAGGTAAACTTAATATAATTTTCAATTTTGCTTGCTAAAAACTCTTTCATAATTATTAGAATATTTTTCAAATAAGACTATTTGTCATATAAATAAAGGGAAACTATAAAAATACCTAAATTGATAACATGTTTTGCTAAAATCGTAGGGTGGCTTTTTCACCCCACCAGGTGGTGCAAAAAAGCCACTTACAGTGCTTTCGTAAAACTCTTATAACTTAGTCCTTTCATGAGATAAAAAATATTTCCGTCAAGAATTTTCAAGCTTAATAACTAAACTTTCAATAACAATTGGAAATTTGAGAAAAAAATTTTAAATACAGATTTTACAACATCAAAAGTAAAAATGTGGCTTTTTTACCCCACTCTACCCTATTATGAAAATAATAAAAAAATAAAATCTGTAAAAATAAAAATTCAATTGTTTAGAAGAAAATTTAAGTTCGTACGAGGAATTTAATTAAAATTGTAGGTCAAAAATAATTTAATTCTTATCACAATTTTTAAAAATAAGTGAATTCTATCATCAAATTTTGTGAATCATTTTGAAAATAATTAAATTCTTCCAAGAAATTTAATAAAAAATTTATTGAAAATAATTATTAAATTTTAATAAACAAATTATATCAAAATTTTTTTAAATAATTGAATTCTTTAGAAGAATTTTTATAACATTTTTAAGAATAATTGCATTTTTCGAAAAATTAATTTTAAATAGTTTTAAAAATAATTGAATCTTGGGAAGCGTTTTATTAGTTATGAAAATAGTTAAATTATTGCAACGAATTTTATTAAAATTTCTAAAAATAATTGAATTTCTGAGAAGAATTTTATTATTTATTAAAATAATTGAATTCTTGAGAGGAATTTTATTACATTTTTTTTAAATATTTGAATTTTAACGAAAAATTCCATTATTTATTAAAATAATAATTGAATTCCTCAGAAGAATTTTATTATTTATAAAAATAATTTAATTTTTCAGAAGAATTTTATTACATACGAAAATAATTAAATTCTTGAAAGAAAATTCTTTTAAATTTTCTATATAAATAACTGAATTCCTGGGCAGAAATTCATTATTTGAAAAATAATTGAATTCCTGAGAAGATTTTTATAATTTATGAAAATAATTGAATTTTGGCAACGAATTTTATTAAAAATTTTAAAAATAAGAATTTTGCAGAAGATTTTTATAATTTATGAAAATAATTGAATTTTTGAGAGAAATTTAATTAAAATTTTTAATAATAATTGAATTCCTGAGTAGAATTTTATTTTATGAAAATAATTGAATTTTTGCATTGAATTTTATTAAAAAAATTTTTAAATAATTGAATTTCGCAGAAGATTTTTATAATTTATGAAAATAATTGAATTTTTGAGAGAAATTGAATTTAAAATTTTTATAATAATTGAATTCCTGAGAAGAATTGTATTATTTATGAAAATAATTGAATTTTGGCAACGAATTTTATTAAAAATTTAAATATTTGAATCCTTTTGTAAAATTTTTTATCAAAATAGGTAATATTAAAATAATTTCGAAAAAAGTAGCTTTTAGTGTCACAAAAAAAAAAATATCCAAATAGTAGCAAATCGTAAAAAAGTAGTAAATAGTAAATTTTAGTAGATGATTACGAAGCCTGTAAATTTAATAAAGAAAATAAATAAGAACATAAATTGTATAGTTTTAATTAATGATCAATTGTAGTCTTTCAATAATTAATGCAGAATGTGCATCAATTTATCGAAGAATGTATCTAATACTATTAAAAATGTAATTAAAAATTAAATCATCATTAATTAAAATTTACATAAATTAATTGTATAATAATTCGTAAAAACAAATAGTTTAAAAATTTTTACAGATATATTCACAGTCCTCTGACACAAAAAAAGACGTATTAATGATGCAAGCAGACAATTCAACAATGTCTCTCGATTTTGTAACTCCATCGCCAACATTCGATTTCCCGCCATTCGCGAGTAATTACACACTCGATTGTGTCAAGGGAGACGATGAGACAAGTCTCATTAGTTTGGATTCACAAATTGATATGGTCGATTGTCCATTGGCTGAAAAAAGTTCCACCGACAGTTTATTGGATGAAATACAAATTGCCGATTCAAATTTACCATCGCCCATCAAGCCGACTACCTCAATTCATGAAGATTATCACGGTTTCAGTATTCAAGGTTCAAATATACCAACAATTCCGTGCAGTACTGGCGATTTATCGTCAAATCCAAATGATCTTAAATTAGGCATCAAAAAATAGCCTCCACAGTTTAAAATACTATAATTATTATACGAGTTTTCAAAAAGTTTACAACTTTATAAATATTTCATATAGAAAAAAAGAATATTGGAAAGTTTTTAGGAAAAGAAGTTGAAATTTGGGGAAATTTTTGATAATCAGAGATTTAAAGTAACTTTGAAGATTTATTTTCACTAGTCAATAATAATTTATGTATAAAGAGTATTTTTCTATTGTTCGTTCGTAAGATTTTTTTTTTAATTTAATGTGATTTGGATGATTGTGTTTTCGTTAAGTATTGCTAGAAAAATTTTAAATTTTATTGCTTGCATTTAATTGTTAGAAATTTAATAAATATTCTAGCTAGGAAAAATGTGTTTTTATTTCTTTTTAACATAAAGTTAATTAAGTAAAATTTGACAAAACCTTTAATTGATTCAATTTTTCAAATTATTTTCGGAAATTCAAGTATCTCTAAAATAAACTTTTAATTACAATTTTTCAAAAATCTAATTTTTTTTAGAATTCTAAATTTCAATAATTTTTGTTAAACAAATATTTAATAACTTATCATATTATTTATTTTAATTAAATATTTCAAATAATTTAAATGTAAAACCTTATTTCTAAAAACTGCAACTTCAATTTTTCCAAAAGTAAATTATTTCTTAGAACTCTTGATAATACTTTAATAATTTTTAAAGAAAAATAATATATTAATAATTTTTCAAAAACAAACATTTAAATATTTTTATATTTTCACATCGAATAAAATTTTCAAAGAATTCAATTTAAAAACCTTTTACAATTTAATCGTTTTCTAAATTTATTGTTATAACACTTCTAATATTTAATTATTTTTCAAAACTTTAACTGAAATTCTTTTTTAAATCAATTCTTATTAGAATTCAACTATAGTTAATATATTTATATATAAGATTTTTTGTAAAATTTTATTATTTTCTAAATTTTTAGTTAATATTCTTCAAAAAATGCAATAATATTTAAAAATAATTTTTTAAAGTGAGAAAATAAAATTCATTGAAATATAAAATTTATTTTAATGAATTTTGAGACAAATTTCTATGTTTTCAATTTTTAAAATTATTTTTGGAAATTCAATTATTTCCAAAAAATTTTAATTACAATTTTTCAAAAACCTAATTTTTTAAGAAATTATTCAAAACTTCAATACATTTTATTAAACAAATATTTAAAAACTTATCGTTATTTATTTTAATTGAAATTTCAATTAATTGTTAATTAATAATTTTATTATTAAAATTTTATTAAAATTATTGATAAAAAATTAAACTCTTCTAAACAATTTTATTAGAGTTTTGGTAGATAAATAATTAAATTGTTTTGAAGAATTTCTTTAAGTTTTTTGAAAATAATGTAGTTTTTTGAATATTAAATATTTGATTATTGAAGTTTATTAAAATTGTATTGACCGAGAAGAATTTATTATTTATAAAAAATAATTTAATTTTTGCGATGAATTTTATTACTTAAAAAAATAATTTAATTGTCTTGAAGGATTTATAAAAATTTTAGAAAATAATTCAACTCTTTAGAAAATTTTTATTAAAAATTTTTAAAAAATTGAATTGTTTCGAAGGATTTATTAAAATTTTAGAAAATAATTTAATTTTTTCGAAAAATATTTTTAAAAATTTTTTAAAAACTGAATTCATTTATAAAATTTCATTAAAAATTATATTAAAAATAACTGAATTTTTGCAAAGAATTTTACTATTTATAAACATAATTGAATTGTTTCAAAGGAATTATTAAAATTTTAGGAAATAATTGAATTTTTGCAAAGATTATACTATTAATAAAAATAATTGAATTCTTACGAAGAATGTTATAATTTATAAAAATAATTGAATTCTTGTGAAGAATTATATTAAAATTTTTGAAAATATGAACAATAATAATTATGTACTTAGTAAGTGAATTTTTAAAATTTTTATTATGAAATTATTTATTCAAAAATTTATATTTGAAAATAAAAAACTTTGTAATATTTGCTAGATTAATAATAATTTTTGAAAGTGAGAATATAAAATTCTTTGAAATATAAAATTTATTTTAATGAAGTTTGAGAAAATTTTCTATTTTTCAAATTTCATTAATTTTTGTTTACTAAATATTATTTGAATTCTTATTGTTATTTATTTGTCCACCAGGAATGAAAATTTTGACAATACTTTGAATGTAAAACCTTTTGAAATTTAATTAAAATTGAAACTACAATTCTTGAAATATTTTTTCAAATTTGAACTGTGATTCTTATTCAAATCAATTATCATGAAAACATTGTACGAGAATTTAATTATTTAAGTACATAAATAAATAATTGATTATTTCTAAAAATTGCAACTTATTATCGATTTTTTTTAATTTGAGAAAGAAAATTCGTAAAGTATTTAAGAGTTTGAAAAATTTGATATTTGTTTAATAAAATTTCCTTTTTTTACTGTTCTATTAAAATTATGTCATTGTAAAAATTCTAGGGAAATTAATTTCACTAAAACACTAATATTACTCTATTTACAAATTAATTATCAAACTTTTGACATAACAATTTAAGCTGTAAATCAATTTGGAATCAAAAAAATTCTAATTTCAAGTGAGGACAAAATATCTCAATTATTATTATATAATAATAATTTTCGCTTAAAATAATTAATTATTTTTCTAAAAAGTTATTAAGAATTTTAATTTTTAATATTTTTTTGTTAATTCTACTAATTTAAAGAAAAAATTTTTTGGGTGAAAAATATTTCTTCTCTTCAGTCGTTGACTCTAAATGTTGTGAATTTCAGCGACGTGTTAATTTAATTAGAAAGTTAAATGAAAAGAAAAATTAATGAAAGGAATGAGAATAATAATAAATTTAAATATTAAGTGATAAGTATTTTGAGTGCACATATAATATTTATTACATGAATGATTACATGTTTAAGATTTAAGATTTCATTTATAGCTTTACAATTTTTTTTTCCAACTGTACCACTCGAGACTAACGCACTAATATATTTTTGTCACTCTTTTAGAACTTTTAAAAATTAAACTCATATGGTGTTTTAAAATCTCGATATGTACATATCTAAAAAATACTTTACGTGTAAAAATACTACATTTCATTTTTTTTCGCAGTTAATACAGTTTTACAAATTATTATTGACACCCTACTAAAATATTCGAAGCACTTGAATTTTATTTATTTTTTTTCTCTTTTCTAAAGATTCTTATTTCTAGTGGAATGTTCATGAAATTAAATAGATTTTTTTTAAGGAAGAAAAATTTTTCCAAGTGAAATTAAAGAAAAGTATATAATTAAATTGAAAGTGATTAATTAAAAAGTGAAAATAGATTTTTTGTTATGCTAAAATATAAAAATGTTACGTAGTTACATTTGTTTAAATTAAAAAGAGATTTTTAAAGTTATTAAAAAACAATTAGAAAATATTTTTTTTTAAGTTTTTAAATTAGTGGTTAATTTTAGTCAATTTAGACTAATTTTCTAAAAAAAGTTTTAAAGCAAAATTAATTAAAAATATCTTCACAATCCTGTTTGCAATAATTAGAATTATAATAGTGAAGAAAAAATAACATTTACAAATGAATTTTTACATTTTTCTCTCTAAATGAGCGTCGTAGTACAAATCATGCGAAGGTATTTTAATATAATATTGACAATCTAATGAACACCTAATATCACCAATATATTACAAACTACCCTGTTCGTCTAATTTATTTTGATACTTATTATTCTATCACTTGTTCTCTAATTCCAATATATTTTTGTCATACATTCACATTATCGTATTTTAATATTCCTCTTTTTCCAAGCTATTTAACAAATATTTATTCCTTATTTCTTTTATTTTCTTAATAATAATATTATTATTAATGTGAAAAATAATTTTTTTTACGATTTTTGAAAATAATTATTTTCTTTACTTGATAAATGTCAAATTAATTGAGAACAAATTTATTACAATCAATATTGAATGATTTTAAACAAAATGACTTATTAAGATTTAAAAAAAATCGGCACACATGTTTTTTCAAACATGTTACATGATAAAGGAATATTATTTAAGAAAAGTATTAGTTCGAATAAAAATTAATATCGAAAGGTAATTAATATAACGAATAGTTATCGTATACGATATTATTAATTAAGTTCGGAAAATGTTAACAATTTAAAGGACAACATTAAAAGTTGATAATAACAATACATGTAGTTGTAAGTAAAATTTAAATTTTAAACTAATTAAGTCGATGTAAATTATTCAGTACATTATAATTTTATAATTAATTAAATAAATTATTAATTAACATTAATATTATAATAATATAATTATTAATTTCGAAGTTGAAGTCCTATTGAAATTTTATTATTTCTAAAAAAAAAAGACAAGCAATTTTTCCAAAAGTCAATTATTTTTTAGAATTTTTGAATAAAGTTAATCAAAGCTTTAATAATTTTTAGAGGAAAATAATATTTAATAAAATATTATATTATCACATTTTTTCAATAAATATTTAAATATTAATATATTTTTACGGTGATTAAAATGTTAAAAAAATTTCAATTTAAAAACCTTTTACAATTTAATTATTTCTTAAAATTCTTGTCATAACGCTTCTAATATTCAATTATTATTTTTCAAAATTTTAAATGAAATGCTTTTTTAAATCAATTCTTATTAAAATTTTATTCAACTACAATAATTGAATTATTTAAAATTTTAAATACAAACATTTTTGTAAAATTTAATTATTTACATCCAAATTTTTAGTTACAATTTAAAAAAATACAATAATATTCTAAAATAATTTTTTAAAGTGAGAAAATAAAATTCTTTGAAATATAAAATTTATTTTAACGATATTTTAAGAAAATTTCCTACTTTTTCAATTTTTAAAAATTATTTTCGGAAATTGAATTAATTTTCAAAAAATTGTAATTGCGAATTTTTAAAAACCTAAATTTTTAGAATTTCTAAATAAAATTTTTCAAATTTAATTACTTTTCGTTTAATCAATATTTAAATGCTTATTTATTTGTCCACCAGGAATTAAAATTTCAAAATACTTTCAATGTAAAACCTTCTTAAATTTAATTGTCAAATTAAAACTGAAATTCTTGAAATATTTTCTGAAATTTTACTAAAATAATTTTTCAAATCAATTCTTATCAAAAATTTATATGAGAATTGATTTATTGAAATAGAAAAATAAATAATTGATTATTTTTAACAATTGCAACTAATGTTGGATTTTTTTTTAGTTTGAGGAAGAAAATTCTTTCAAGATTTTGAATAAAATTAATACTAATATAATTTTCATAGAAAAACGTTGTGGACTTCGACTTGGTCATTAATTAATATTAATATAATAATAATGTTAATTAAGTATAACCAAATAATCACAAATATTAATAAAAGTAAAAAAATGTGTAATAAGGAAAAAAGTTATAAAGTGTGATAAAAGAAATTAAAATAAATCAGAATTTAATATTTTTAAAAAATTCTGTCTATTATTATTGATTATGTATCCATTTTTTCAAAATTGTTAATTTTTTCATCAAAAGTGTTGATTAATTTCATATCAAATTGCAAACTTTTAAAATAGTTCGCTCAGAAAATGTCTATAATTTTCGAGATGAAAAATCTCTATATTTATATTATATATATAGTAGATAAAATTTTCCTACAAGAGAGGAATAGAAAATTTTACGAAAATTATCAATTTTGTTTTCGCTTCATAATAATGATTTTTTCTCCAATTTTCCCTTTTAATCTATTATCCTGACAATGTAATTAATTATTCTGACAAGTATTTTATTGGTATTTAATAAGTGCAATTTTTTTTTAATAGATAAAAAAAGAAAATAGATTTTTCATTGTTATATACTTATTGTAATTTTCAAAATTCTACAAAAATAACTTCTTAAATTTTAACAAACGATTGAAATTTTATTTTCATTTTCTTCTCATAATATATTTTTTAATTTTTTTTTATGTTATATTGTTATTTTCGAAAATTTCAGTAAAGTTATTTAAAGAAATTCAATTATTTACAATTTTTCAGATTTTTTTTAATTCTCTGAAATTCTTTAACAGATTTAGTTATTTTTACATAATTAAATTTAAATTTCATTTCCAACTAAAATCTTTTTTAAGTTAATTAAAATAAATTAATTTTAAAAAAATTATTCTAGAATTCCCTCATTTATTCTGATTTTATTTATTTTCTTTTTCATTATTATTTTTTTTTTTTTTAATTGAAAATGATCCTCAAGTTTTAAACGTCAAAATGAACGAAATATTTTTTAAAGAATATTTTTATAAATTACTAATTGCAGTAAAAGTTAAAAACTTTAACTTTAAAAATTTTACATTCAGAAAATAAATTTTTTTGTTAGTGACAAAAAATAGTTGAAAAAATGAAAATGAAAAATTGAATTGAAAATAAAATATTTAAAATCGAAAAATTTGGTAAAATTCAAGAAGTCATTTTGTTAGAATTCAAGAAATTAGTTTGTTTTCATAGGCTAAGAATTCTTAATGAAGAGAGTTAAGTAAAGGAGCAACAATTTAATACAGGTACCTGCAGAATATTTTAGGCACTATATTTAAATACATATTTAAAATGGAGATATCTATGATTTTTACTGGGATTATTAAGCACTCAAGGAATAAATTTTAATTGACATTAACGATATTAATAAGATTCACCAAAAATTCCAATCTCACCGAATTTTCAATAAATTATTCACATCATAACACGTCAAAAATTTTTTTTTAATTTTTCAAATTTATAAAATCAATTACTATAGACAAAAGTTTCAAATTTTTATTTTCCAATCTTCTTCAATTCAAATTTGAACTCGAAGAAATTGGGAAATTATTTATATACAAAATTTCAAGAAAATAATCATTTTTTTTTTTTTAATTCAAATATCAAATACGAATGAAGATTACGTTTTTATCAATATACTTCTATGTAATAAAATTGAGCAAATTTTTTTATTATTACGGATTTCGAGTAGAAATCAATGGGAGAAATATTTTGTTTTTTTTAAGAAAAATTCTATGACAATAAGGCGCGACTCTCTAGCAATTCTCGATTAATATCGATCCCTTGTATTTTTTTTAAGTATTATAAATTACTAAGTGTCTTTTTTCGTAGTAAAAAAATTACATTTATAACATTCGAAAACTAAAATTCAAATTACGAGTATTATACCGAAAAATAATTCAAAATTAAATATTCAAGCCTCGGATCGACAAATTCTCGAAATATAATTTTTTACAAAAGTTTTTATTTCGGAAATTTCCCTTACAAAAATTATTCAAAAATAATATTTGAAAGATGTGACTATAACAGGGTTGCCACAAAAAATTAGTTTTGTTTTTTCTTAACTTTTCCCTGATTTCCAGATAAAATTTTGACTTTTTCCCTAAGCGCTAAACCTTAAGAATATTCTGATTCACTCTGAAAATTATTAGATTCTCAAAAAAATGTTCTATTACATTTATTTACAAAATTTGTTCAATTACAAAATCATTCAAAAACATTAATAAATTCTTTTTTAAATAAATATTTAATTATTATTATTTTTCCATAGGAATTAAGATTTTCAAAAAGTCAAATTCAATTACATTTCACAAATAATGAAATTCTTCGATGAAATTCAAATATTTTCCAAATCTAATATTATTTTAATAAAATTTCTCAAAAGAATTCAATTATTTAAAAAAAATGTAATAAAAATTCGTTACAAGAATTCTATTATTTTCATAAATAATAATATTCATCACAGGATTTCAATTATTTTTAATACAATTTAAAGTAAATTCTTTGAAAAACAATTAATTTCAAAAATTTTTTTAAATTCGTCGAAGGAAATAATTGAACAATTATCAATTATTTTAAATAATTTTTGCAAAAGTTTCAAAAGAATTTTCAAATTCATTTGCAATTCAATTTTACGAATTTTGATTATTCAGAAATTCCTCAATTAAATATTTAGAAAATAAAAACTTGAAATAATTTCAAAAAATTTATCGAAAAAAATTCAATTTAACTTTTTCAAAATACAATTATTTCTAAAAATTCATGCTATAATACTTTTAATTTTCAATTATCTAAAATTTTAACTGAAATTCATTTTTAAAACAATTTTTATTAGAAAATTCTACGAGAATTCAATTATTTAAATACAAAAATGAAAAAAGTATTGAATAAATGAATGTTTCTTAAAATTGAATTCTCATAAAGAATTTTATGGATAAATTTTTAAATAATTGAATTTTTTCGACGAATTTTAATAAAAATTTCCAGAATAATTACATTTTTCGAGGAATTCGGTTAAAATTGTATTAAAAATAATTGAAATTCTATGATGAGTTTTATTATTCATGAAAATAATTGAATCTCTGTAAAAAAAATTTATTATTTATGAAAATAATTGAATTATTGCGAAGAGATTTTATTATTTATGAAAATAATTGAACTATTTTAGAAGGAATTTATAAAAAATCTGTAAATAATTAAATTCCTGTGAAATTTTTATTATTTTATGAAACTAAGTAAATATTTACGTAGAATTTTATTAATATTTTTTTAAATAATTGAATTCTTTTGGAAAATTTTATTTAAATACTATAGATATTGAAAATCATTGAATTGGGGAAATTTTTTAAAAATAATTGAAATTTTAACAAAAATTTTATTAAAATTTTTAAAAATAATTGAAATTTTGAAGAGAATTTTAAAGAATTTAAAATTTAAATTCAATTATTTAAATACAAAAATGAAAATATTATTGAATAAATGAATGTTTCTCAAAATTGAAATCCCATAATGAATTTTATGGACAAATTTTTTAATAATTGAATTTTTTCGACGAATTTTCATAAAAATTTCGAGAAATTCGGTTAAAATTGTATAAAAAATAATTGAAACTCTATGATCAGTTTTATTATTCATGAAAATAATTGAATCTCTGTAAAAAAAACATTTTATTATTTATGAAAATTATTGAATTATTGCGAAGAAATTTTATTATTTATGAAAATAATTGAACTACTTAAAAGGAATTTATAAAACAATCTGTAAATAATTGTATTTCTACAAACATTTTTGTAAGTTTTCGAAAATTCGATTTTTGTAGTGTTTTTAACTAAAATTCTTCTATGAATCCATGATTTTTAATAATTAATTAAATATATATTAAAAAATTAAAGAAAACTAATTATGAATCCTGCAAATTTTATTTTTTCCAGAACTTTAATAAAAATCCCTGACTTTTCCCTGATTTCCCTGAATCCCTTGATCTGTGGCAACCCTATATACATTTTTAATATTATGAAAATCAAAATGTATTTTATACCAAAAAAGTGATATTTTCTTTCACGATTTGAAAGAAAAAGTTCCGAGACCTAGAATTAAATATAATTTTCATACTTGAATTTCACAGTATTTGCAAAATATATCAATTTAAGAACATTTTTGTGCCTTTTAATAATAGATTTATAACTTAATACTACTAAGTATTTTTTTCCATATGTATAAAAAAATGGGATTTGTAAATATTTACAACTAGTCGATAAATAATTGCAGTCGCCTATCGATCCAGTCTTTTATATACATAAGTAATAGTTTAACAGAAATTATTTTCAACACACTTTCGTGTTTTATAAAGAAAAATAAATGTCTTTTTTTCTCCTACCAAGCTTTAAAAAGTTCTTCTTATTCTTCTTCTTCTTCTTTTTCTTTTTTGTTAATATCACAATTGATTATAGAAAAGAATAATTTTCTAACTAAATTTCTAATGGCAAAAAAGTATTCCCCCTCCTGCGATGGGAAATTAAGTAAACAAATAAAATAAATAACAAAAAAAAAAATAAAATAAAATGGGAATTAATTATGTGCGGCTCTTTTTCCATTCATGTAACCAATCCATCTTTCGGCGGTTGTCGTGAAAATCTGATCGTTATCGATAGTACTGAGTAAAAGTATTTGATTGATATGTGTCGAATGATAATCCCAACGTGCAATATTGGGGGCGGTTTTTAAAGTAAAGTGACGTAAATCGTACGTGGTACCAGAGCCGGTATCGTATAATGTTAACATATTTTTTAAGGATGTCATACCTTGTTCGAATAGTTTTAATGCGTCGTTCGCATCTTTTCCTGATGTGATACTCTTTAAATCGTACAGTCCAATAAGCGAGTATATAAAGCCGTTGAGAATGAATGATGGGGGTGTTGTTGGATATTCCTCGTACCAAATATATTTACCTAAGAATGAAGCGGTTATTCCGCCTTTGCTCGATGGTACTTTAAATGGCTTTAAACCTCTTATTGCCGCATTTAAATATTTATCCTCACCAGAGTGATAGTAAGCTCGGGAGAGTACCGAAATTGCGTGTCCTTGCCCCATACTCGAATACCTGTTACAAAAAAAGCTGCTTAATTAATAACAAAAATTAATTAAACAAAAAATTTATTTAAAAAAGAATTTTAACAGGTTTGTCACAAAAATTAAATTCTGTTTTTCCCTGGCTTTCTCCTGATTTACAGACAAAATTTTGACTTTTTCACTGAGCCTAAAGAATATTTTGATATACTCTAAAAATTACTGGATATTCAAAAAAATTTTCTATTACATTTATTTACGAATTTCGTTAATTGCAAAATTATTCGAAAACATCAATAACTTCATTTTTAAATAAATATTGCATCATTATTATTTTTACATAGGAATTAAAATTCTCCAAAAGATTCAAATTCAAACCTTTTTGAAATTCAACAACTTATAAAAATTGTTGTAAAACATGAAGAAATCGATCACTGCGAGTCTTCGACTCGGAGTAATCGATATCTTCATGTTTTATAATAATTAAAGATGACCGAGTGATAAAATCATTATTTTATATTCTAAGAATATTTTCTTACTGCAACTTCTTCAAAATTATTTTCATCATTTCAATTCAATTATTATTTTCTAAAATTTTTGACTAAAATTCTTCTTTAAATCAATTATTTTTAATAATTTCTGACAAAGTTCTCAGTTGAGAATTTTCAAATCCAATTGTTTGTGATGAAATTTCGTTTACTCGTAAATTCAAAAAAATTATTTCTACAAAATGTTAAGTTAAAACTTAAAAGTATAAAAAAATTCAAATTTTCAAAGATTTTAAGTTGAAACCTTTTCAAAATTAAATTATTTCTAAAAATTCATGCTACCTATAATGTTTTTAATCTTCAACTATAAAATTTTAAATAAAATTTATTTTTAAAACAATATTTATTAGAAAATTCTACAAGAATTCAATTATTTAAATATAAAAATAAATAATTTATCATCAAAAATTTTGAAAATAATTTAACTTTTACATTTATTTATTATTTATGAAAACAATTAAATTCTTTCGAGGAATTCAATTAAAATTGTATTCAAAAAAATTTAATTTCTTTAAAGAATTTTATTAAAATTTCAGAAAACAATTGAATTTCTGCAAAGAATTTTATTCTTTACGAAAACAATTATCGAATTTTTGAAAAGAAATTTTGTTAACATTTCTAAAAATAATTGAATGTCTGCGAAGAATTTTATTATTTGTGAAAATAATTCAATTTTTTTTTTAAATTATTTAAAAACTTTGATATAATTAATTTTTGCGTAGAATTTTATTATTTATGAAAACAATTCAATTCTTTCCATGAATTTTTAAAATAATTTTTGTAAAATTGATTTCTTGCGAAGAAATGTTATTATTTATAAAAAAATGCAATTTTTTTAAAGAGTTTTTTAAAAACTTTTATTATTACCGCGAAAAATTTTATTAACATTTTTTAAAATAATCGATTTTCTACGATGAATTTTATTGTTTATAAAAATAATTTAATTCTGTAGAAGAGTATTTTAAAAAATTTTGAAATAATGGAATTTTGCGAAAAATTTTATAAATATAGTGTTAAAAATCAATTTTATTGAGAAACGTAATTAAAATCTTGCTGAAAATAATTCAATTCCTTTAAAGAATTCTATGAATTACATAGTTATGAATTTAGAAATTAATTTTTATTAGAAAATTTTAGGAGAATTCAAATATTCAAATACAAAAATAAATAATTTATTAAATAATTGAATGTTTCTTATAATTGTAATCTTATAAATAATTTTATCAACAAATTTTTAAATAATTTGAATTTTTTGGCGAATTTTTTATAGAATTTTTAAGAATAATTGAATTATTTTGAAGAATTCGATTAAAATTGTATTAAAAATAATTGAAAATTAAAACGATGAGTTTTATTATTTATCAAAATAATTGAATTCCTAAGAAGAATTTTATTATTTATGAAAGTAGTTAAAAGTTCGCGTTGAATTTTATTATAATTTGTTTTAAAAAATTGAATACTTTTGGAAAACTTTATTAAAATACATAATAGATATTTAGAGAATCATTGAATTGAGGAAAATTTTTGAAAATAATTGAATTTTGGAGAAGAATTTTATTCATATTGAAAATAATTTGAAATTTTTACGAGAATTTAAAAAAATTTTTGAACATAATAATTGAATTTCTGCGAAGAATTTTATTACTTTTGAAATAATTGAATTTCTGCAATCATTTGTAACTTCTCAAAAATTCAATTTTTTTTTAGTGTTTATAACTAAAATTCTTCTATAAGTCCATTATTTTAAATAATTAATTGAATGTATATTCAAAAATTTAAATAATTCCTAAAGAATTTGAATTCTTAAAATTTTTCAATAATCTAAGCTCCTTAATATTTCTAATTAAACGCATTAAAAATTGAAATTTTATAAAATTTCAAATTGAAACCTTTTGAAGTTCATCTATTTATGAAAATTTTCAAGGCAAATTTTTTAAATTTCTATTAATTTTGAAATATTGAAGTAAAATTATTCATTAAATAATTTATAAGTAATAATTTTATGATAGTTGTTCAAGAATTAAGTTATTTAAAAAGAAAATATTGTCAGAAGTAGAAAAAATGGAAGGTTTTGTATTAGAATTCGTGTTAATTTCATAGTTTTTGAGACAAACAAAAAAAACACAAAAATTCAAAATTTTCCAATGAATTCTAAAAATTTAATTTTTTCCAGTATACTTTTAAGAAAAATCCCTGACTTTTCCCCGAATTTCCTGATCTGTGACAACTCTGTTTAAAGTTCCAAGGATTTTAATTAATAAAAGAAAATTTTAAACTTCATGGGATTTGAATTCAAAAAAGAAACTTTTAAAGTTCGAAATATTTAAATTCAAACAAGAAAATTCCAAAGTTCGAAAGATTTAAAAAAAATTTATAGGTTTAAAAAAAGTATTTTTTTTGTATAGTTTTCGATTACCAGCCGGGTTCAAGAATCGCCATGCCGTTGGAAACTTTTCTTCTCACTGGATTAGGCCAACCACCGGAACTTATATTTTGATTCGCGACGAACCATCGAGCGGCGTCGTAAAATTGCTCCATATGTTCGCTCGTTGACAATGTAATATTGTCTATCATTCCAGATCCGTTTAGAATAATTTTTATCACCTGTAGCAAAAATTTATTTCAATAAAATGTGACGAAATTTACAAGTTTTCAATTAATTATTTCCAGGAATTCAACTATCTTCAAAAAATTTCAATTCAATTTCTCAAAAAAAAAAAAAAAAAAAAAAACCAAGGCCTGGAATTTTCATAAGATTTCTACGATTCAATGAACCAAAACGAAAATTCATGACAATTCTATTAATTCCAGGTTGTCTGAAAGTTTTCCCTGGTTTTAAAAAAATAGAAAAATAAAATATAGAAAGAAAGAAAAAAAATTCAGTTCGGTTGTTTTAGAAAAGTGATGGAAAAATACCTTCAACTTTGATCTGGACATTTGTTTTCTTGTTTTATCACTAATATTCAAGCCTTTGTGTAAGTCAACAACGAGATCCCTCGTCAATCGTCGCCATTGATTATTTAATAAGCCAATGCCGTAATGAACATGATTATTGAACGCTTGTAAAACGGTGTTGCTGGTTGTGTAATGAAGATAATAGACGTCCTTCTTCTCCCTCGATTGTAATATAACAGTAATACTTCCATTGTCTTTTGTGCAAATATCGAACTTAAATACAAAATCGAGAACATGCTCTAATCGCAATGATATTCCCGATGCACTTGTCTCGGGCGTCGCGTACTTTAATACATTACTATTTACACTCCTATCGTAAATACGAGTAATTAATGAACCCTGCGGGACAATCCAATCTTGTCTCACTCGTTCGGCGTCTTCAATCACTTTTTTATATGGTTCCGGTTCAGTGAGATTTTTACTGTAATGCGACAAACCAAATTGTGCAATTTGTGTGGGATAGTAATAACCCTGACTCTCCCATTGTGTTGATATTGGAACACCATCACTGCCACTCACACATTTCACTCGTTCTCTCACTTCGACATTGTAATTTTCAAATGTCATAAATACACCTCGTGAATCGTATTTTCCTTTTGGACTCACTATTTTTGAATAACTGTGGAACCATTCGAATCTCTCGAGACCATCGTACGTGGCAAGTTTTCCATAAATCTGCAAAAAGAATTGTCACTACTTTTCTTTTTCTTCTTTTAAATTTTAGAAAATTGCAATTCAAAAATTTTTAATTATTTGTTTATAAAAGTTAAATTGTAATTAACAACATTGAACTGAAATATTTTAAAAACCAAATTTTCTGGAATATAAGATAAAATTTTTGTATAAAATAAAATTTTTCTTCACGTTAATTCAATTATTTTCAAAAGTTTTAGAAATTTTCTACAAAAGAATTGGATTATTTTTATTAATATTAAAATTATTTAAAGGACTTCAATTATGTTATTAAATATAATAAAAATCTTTAAACGATTAAAATTATTTTGAATACAATTTTAATTAAACTCGAAATGTTATTTTTTTTTAAATAAAAAATGTTTTTTGACGATAGGCAAGAATACTTTTGAATAATTACATACCTCGAAATATTTATGAATGAAAGAAAAAGGAATATAAACTTCGTCTCCCTCTTTTCGGCAGCCAATGGAATAACCTCCATTTATGTAACAATCAATCTCTTGATAACCCAATTCATTACTTGTTCGATCCTAGGAAAGATGTAGAAAATTATTTTTTTATTATTAGATTATTTCCTGACTAGCATAACAAGCGCGCGTGAAATTTTGGCTTCCATTGTTAGTTACAAAAACTTTTTTTTTGAAATTTAATGAAAATTTAATATTATTAAAAACTTTAATAATTTTTAAAGGAAACTAATATATTTAAATATTTTTTTTAAATAAACACTTAAATATTTTTATACTTTTACGGCGATTAAAATGTGAAAAAGATTTCATTAATTTTTGTTTACTAAATATTTGAATACTTATTGTTATTTATCAGTCGACCAGGCATTAAAATTTCAAAATACTTTCAATGTCAAAGTATTTGAAATTTAATTAAAACTAAAACTGCATTTTTTGAAACATTTTCTAAAATTTTAACTGAAATTCTGTTTCAAATCAATTCTTATAAAAAAGTTGTACGAGAATTCAAATATTTAAATAGAAAAAATACGATTATATTTCATAATAATTTTTAAAAGTAAACAAATAAAATTCATTAAAATAACATTTATTTCAATGAAATTTGCCAATTACGGAAATACAATTATTTTTAGAAAATTTTAATTACATTTTTTCAAGAAACAATTTTTTTGGACTTTCTGAATTAAATTATTCAAAAACTTCAATACTTTTTGTTAATCACAAATTTTAAAACTTATTCTTATTTATTTTTCCACAGGAATTAAAATTTCAAATAATTTCAATGAAAAACATAATGAAATTTAATTACTTCTAAAAATTGCAATTGTACTTAATTCTTTCAAAATTCAATTATTTTTTTTAGAATTTTTTAATAAAATAATTATTTAAAAACTTTAAGAATTTTTTTAGAAAAATAATGTGATTAATAATTTTTTAAAATAAAATTTTTAATATTTTTATGCTTTTGCTTCCCTTAAATTTTCAAGGAATTTTAATTTAAAAACCTTTTAAAATTTAATTAATTCTTAAAATTTCTGTTATAACGCTTTAAATATTCAATTATTTTCTAAAATTTTAACTGAAATTCTTTTTCAAATCAATTATTATAAAAAAAGTTGTACGAGAATTCAATTATTTAAATACAAAAATTTTTGTAAAATTTAATTGTAATTTTTCAAATTTCTTGTTAGAATTCTTTAAAAAATACAAAAAAAATAATTTTCTAAAGTGAGAAAGTAAAATTTTCTGAAATATAAAATTTGAGAAAATTTACTATTTTTTTAATTTTTATAAAATTATTTTCGGGAATTCAGCTAATTTTCAAGAAATTTTAATTACAATTTTTTAAAAAACTCATTTTTTCAGAATTTTAAAATAAAATGTTTCAAATTTCATTAATTTTTGTTTAATAAATAGTTGAAAACTTATTGGTATTTATCTGTCCACCAGGAATTAAAATTTCAAAATACTTTCAATGTAATACCTTTTGAAATTTAATTATAATTAGAACTGCAATTCTTGAAATATTTTCTAACAATAAGATTTGAACTGAAATTCTTTTTCAAATCAATTCTTACAAAAAAGTTGTACTAGAATTCAATTATTTAAATACAAAAATGTTTGTAAAATTTAATTATCTTCCAAATTTTTTATTACAATTATTCAAAAAATACAAAAAAATTTTTTAAATGAAAAAATAAATTTCTATTATGTAAATATAAAATTTATTTTAACAAAATTTGAGAAAATTTCCCATTGTTTTTTAAATGTTTTTAAAATTATTTTCGAGAAATCAACTATTTTCGAGATCTCCTATTTTTAAACAATTCTAATTATGATTTTTTAAAATCTTGATTCTTTCAGAATTTCTAAATAAAATTTGTCGCTTCTTGTTTGATAACTATTTTAATACTTATTGTTTTTTTATTTGTCCAGTAAGAATTAAAAGTTTTGAATACTTTCAATGTAAAATCTTTTGAAATTTAATTAAAAGTAGAACTGCAATTCTTGAAATATTTTCTAAAATTTGAACTAAAATTCTGTTTTAAATCAATGGTTGTTTTTGAATTTGAGAAAGAAAATTGATAAACAATTTAAGATTTTGAATAATTTGATATTTTTTTTTTATAAAATTTCTTTTCTTTACTGTCCTGTGAAAATGCTGTTATTGTAAAAATTAATTACTTTATGTAGACTCTGCGCCTTCCATTCTATGTTGTTTTCGAAAAAATGATTTCCACAATTGTTCCATGTTGTAATTATCGAACTCACTACAGCAACAACCAGTATCAAAAGAATTGTTTTAAAATTGATTCGCATCATCATGTACAACCTGTTAATGAAACAAATTTCATTATTAATTATAAATTAAATAAAAATTTAGCAATAATTTCTATACAATTTTATAAATATTTTTCTAATTTGTTTACAATTTTTGCCATTCAACCAAAATTTAAAAAAGTAAAACGAAACAAAATATATAATTTGCTTTGCCGGATAAAATTTTTCTCTGCAAAAGTAAAACTGATATAGAGACACTAAATTATTACTCAGATCAAATTTATTATATCTTACATGATTTGGATTTTTTAAATAAATCCCTTTATCACTGTCAATAGAATTTTGTGCATTTTGACCTCTTTCTCGTGTGGAAAAAAAATTCCGATTTTACATTTTTCCTAATATCAAGATGAATCTACAAAAATTTGTCCATAATAGTTATTTCTCAAGTTATGTTATCGAAAATTTGAAAAATCACTCGTTCACTATCTGTTATTTTTATCATTAAATGTTTGTAAATTGAAAAAAATGAGGAAAATATTAAAAATACAAATGTCAGCTGTCACTGAGTGAGGAAAATGTATTGTGTAGATGGGAAACTACAGAAACTTTGAGACCCCTGCACCGCAGGGTTGGGTAGGAGAGAACGATGGGAAAACTTGTAAAGGAGATATCACACCGGTGTCAGACACTTTGACAAACTAGCGCTTATTTCGTGGTGGTCATACACCGAAACAATATTAGTTTCAATAAAATATGCAATCACAATTCAATAAACAAATAGTTTTCTCTGGTAAAAAAGAGTAAAAGCAGAAAATACATAACCAATCAAATTAAAGAAACAGGCGCATGTCTATTGTTTTTAGTAAAAAAAGAAGGGGAAAGTGAGCAGTAGAATTAAAAACATTGTCAAAAGGAGCGCAGTAAACAGCAGCAAAAAAGAAGGAATAAGCGCATCTCTTGTTTTGCTTCTCATGTGAAATATAAAAGTGAAATACATAACCTATTTTTCTCAATTAGTAATGTTTATAAATATTTGACAAACGTTTACATTATCGACTATTCGATTTTCTCCACCTTTTTTTTTTAAATAAAAACGACATTGTACGATGATGTAGAAACAATCGAGTGTTTTTGCAAAAAAAAGCCACGTACGCAGCAACAACAATGTTCAATCGAGTTGCATTTTAATGAAACTCAAAATTAACATTAAATTATATTTATTGTAAACAAAAAATTTGCTCAGCATATTTATTAAAAATGACAACGGGTCAAAGTGGCCACGACAATTCCCTCGCGATTCGACAAGAAATTCAACGTTTCGAAAGTGTTCATCCGTCGATCTATGCAATTTACGATCTCATTGATCTCTTGACAGATACACATATTGCTAAACAAATTCGAGAGCATGTTGTTGCTATTGAAGGTAAGTCAGCAATTTTAATAATTAAAAGTCACTTCAGTCCCACGTAATTATCTTTATTTGATTCGGACACTCCTCATTCTCATTTACGCCTCACCATATTTAGAATTCGCATATTTAAATCTTTTTTTTTCTTTTTTTTAATTACATAACTTTTTTTTTAATTATGTATAGAAATTTCAACCTTCATGACGGCGAATATCAAATTATATGTAGATATCTCGTAGCCGAATATATAAAAATAGTGCGACGAATAATGATATAGTAATTAGTGTTTAATTGTCCCAAGTTATTAATAGAATCGTTGAGTATTTTGCCTGACATATGAGATACAAAATCTGGGTTAAGGAAAACTTGTGCTTTTTTTAATGTCAAAGCTAATTTGCAAAAATAAGTTCTTTAGAAAAGGTATAGAGAAGAGGGGAAAAAATTCCTACTCTAATTATTTGATTTTAAATTCATGAGAAAAGAGAAATTACTAGATGTTTATTCTCATCTTTATTTTTTTTTTACTTTCTACAAAATATATTAAAATAAATTATTTTTTATTATATGTGAATTAATAACTTTCTTTCTTTGCAGATTCATTTGTAAATAGTCACGAATGGACGCTTGCGAGGGATGTGCCGGAATTACATTTAGGAATAATCGGTTCTTCCGATTCGGGAAAATCGGCTTTGGTACATAGGTACTTGACTGGTTCGTTTATGCACGAGGAATCTCCCGAAGGTGGTCGATTTAAAAAAGAAATATTCATTAACGATCAAAGTTTTTTACTTTTGATTCGCGATGAAGGAGGAGTTCCAGAGTCTCAGGTAAAAAAGGATCAGGGTGTCTACTAACCGGGAAATCCGAGAAATAATCGGGAATTTAATATGACCAGGAAAAACCGATAATAAGCCAGAAATTTTATACCAAACCGGTAATTTTTTTACCAAATTAAAAAAAGTTTTATTATTTTAATTTGTTTTTAAAAAATTGCTTTTTTCAATTTTTATAGATATTTCTATTGTTTTCTAAATTTGAATTAGTTAAAAATAATTAATTTGATAGTAAAAAATGAGTCACTGATTCAAATATAGTATGTAAATAAATTTATAAATAATTATCGAATTAATAGAAATTTTCTGAAATTCAACTGAAAATAATTAAATTTGTTGAAGAATTTCATTAAAAACTTTTTAACAAATCGAATTTTCAAAGTATTTTAATTTAATAATTGATAAATAATTGAATGTTATAAAGAGTCACATTCTAGTATTCATGTTTCTTAGTGCGAACATTAATAATTAAAATTTTTATTAGTTAATTGAAAAAAAAGATACACACTTAAAATTTTTTAATAAAATTGAATTTTCGTAAAGTTTTTTTTGAATATTTTGAAAAATAAGATTTTTGAAATTTTTCAATTCTATTGTTTCAAGAAAATTGAATTTTTATAAAGAAATAATTGAAATTTCTTTACATTCTATTGAAAATAATTAACTTAAAGAATTTTATTTAAATTTTTCGAAAATAATCAAGGGAAATTAGTCACCGTAATTATAATTTTATTTTTAAAAATTTCTTCGCAAAATATATAATTATTTTCATAAATAGTAAAACTCATTGCAGAATTTTAATTATAATACAATTTTAGTCAAACTGCTCGAAAAATGTAATTATTCTTAAAAATTTTATTAAAATTCGTAGATAGAATTCAATTATTTTCACAAATTTCCATAAAATTCTAAAAAAACAATTCAATGATTTTCAAAAGTAATAAAAATCTTCGCAGAAATTCAATTATGTTTATAAATAATTTAATTAATTAATTAATTAAATTATAAATTGTTTATAATTTTAATTATAATTATTAATTATAATTAATTTAATTAATTAAATTGTTCTCCACAGTTCAATTATTTTTCAAAATTTTAATTAAAATTATGAAAAAACATTATTTTCAAAAAATTTTAAGAAACTCGTTCAAAAGAATTTAATTATTCATAAAAACTCTAATAAAAATTTTAGAAGCCATTTGTAGATTTATTTATGTTCGAAATCAAATAAATTTAAATTTGATGAGAAAGAAAACCGTGAAAAATTATGACAATGCCGGGAAAAAACCGGGAATTTTGTTGAGCAAACATAGTAGACACCCTGAGGATGAAAAATTATTTATTATTAAATTCCTAAGAATAGAGAGAAAGTAATTTATTGTATTTCTAGTTTTCTTCGTGGATTGACGCTGTATTAATTGTCTTCAGTGTTGAAAGTGAAGAGAGTTTCTCGATAGCTTGTAGCTATTATAATCGAATGTGTTCATTTCGAAATATGGTTGACGTTCCAAAAATTCTTGTCGGCGTACAAGGTGAAAAAATTGATTTTTTTTTAAATTTCTGATCAAGAGATTTTGCATATTATGCATTTTTTCGACTATTTTAAAAAAATGCGACTTTTTTTTTACTTTTTTACAAAAATTGAGACTTTTCTTCCAAATATTGGAACAAAATTCTATCTTTACGTGAAGTTAGGGCTTTTTAATTCCTAATTGTTTTCTGGATCAAATTGTCATGTCAAAATTCTGCCAACTAATTTGTAAATTAGTGTTTCAGTGAAACTAATTCCCTTAGAATTTTTTCAATAACAGCACTTTCCCAAGACAGTAAAAAAAGGAAATTTTATCAAAAAAAAAAAAATATCAAATTATTCAGAATCTTAAATAGTCAATGAATTCTTTTTCTCAAATTCGAAAAAATCTATAAGAAGTTACAATTTTTAAAAATATGTGATCAATTATTTATTTTTTTATTTCAATATTTCAATTCTCATACAACTTTTTTATAAGAATATTGATTTGAAACAGATTTTTAGTTCAAATTTTAGAAATTATTTCAAGAATTACAGTTCTTTTTTTAATTAAATTTCAAAAGGTTTTATATTGAAAGTATTTTGAAATTTTAATTCTTACTGGACAAATAAATAAACAATAAGTATTCAAATATTTATTAAACAAAAAGCGACAAATTTTATTTAGAAATTCTAAAAAAATTAAGTTTTTAAAAAATTTATATATTATAATATTATAATAAATTTTATATTCCATAGAATTTTGAGATCTCAGAATTCTATTTTCTCATTTTAAAAAATAATTTTTTTGTATTTTATTGTAGAATTGTAACAAAAAATTTGGAAAATAATTAAATTTTACTAAAATTTTTGTATTTAAATAATTGAATTCTCTTACAACTTTTTGGATAAAAATTGAAATTTAAAAATGAAAAATAATAAAAATTAGCTTCTAAAAATTATATTAAATTTTTTTTTTTGAAAAAATTTATTCTTTAAATTTTTTTATTTGCTGTTTTATTTTTATTTAATTTTTTTAAATTCACTTATTTTCTATATTTCCAGATGTAGTTTCGTTAAAAATTGTAAAAAATAATTGAATTTTGGAAGTGTTGTAGTTGTAATTTTTATAAATTATTAAATTTCAGAAGGTTCTAAATTAAAATTTTTTTAATATTTTATTTCCCGTGGAAAACCAAATGAGAAGTATTGAAATATTTATTTAATAAAACTAATACAAAATAAAATTTTTGTGAGAACACCGAATTAAACGTGCGAAATTTTTGACTTTTTTTGTATTTTTAATCGACTAAAACAACCATTTTTACGCCTTAAAGTCGATTTAAGGCCTGGATCAAAGAAATTAATAAACATTGTTTAAAGAAATGTGAACGAGAATAAAATTGAAATTTAATTGTTTCAGATTCAATAAATGAGAGTAATCCGCGTGTCATAAAAGATGTGAGGCCGCGAAAACTTGCCTGCGATTTGAGGTGTTCGTATTACGAAACCTGTGCAATTTATGGCCTAAATGTTGAACGAGTTTTTCAAGATGGTGAATATAAATAACATTAAATTACCAACACTCTTCTTTTAATCTGTTTTATGAAAAAAAAATTTTATTCCTATTTCCAGTGTGCGAGAAGATTATCCAAAAAGTTTACACAAAACAGTCACGATCGAATGGACAGCACACGATCGAAAGTGACTCGAATTTTTGCTCACCCTCGAATGTAAAAAATTTCCAGCTACCTGCCAAAGAATTGAACACTAACAGTCCTATTAAAATTCATGTAAGTAACAAAGTTTTTCACTTATTCACCTTTTTACCGATTTCAAATTTTGTCACCTACTTTGAATTGATAATTTCTTACCTTTTTCATGTATTTTCATGTTTCGATTAATTTTGAAATGCAATACATTTCAAAAACAGTTGAATTTACAATGTTAAAAACAAAAAAATCAGGATTCGTGAGAAAAAAAACCATTAACTTAAAACTTTTGTTTTATTTCTTAGCGACTAAAAATTATTAATTTAAGATGAACGAGTGATTATGGAAATTAATGTCCACGATCCCATGTATTTTTGTGTCCACAAGGGGAGAGGGGGGGGGGGGGTCAACAATCTTTGAAAAACTGTCCACGTGGTATATGGACGCCCCCTAAAAGAAATTTTTATACATGAATTACTTTAGATTTTGAAGGCAGGAAATAAAAATGCCATTTTAATTATTTTAATCAACGATAATAGAAAATATAACAATACTAGAAAATTCAACAATTCAACTAAATTTTAATTAAATTTCAAGAAAGAATTCAATTATTTTCTAAAATTTTAAGAAATCCTTATAAACAATTCAATTATTTTTTTAAATAGTAAAATCTTTTCAAGAATTCAATTTTTTTCTTTATTGGTTTTAATAGTTTTCGAAAAAATTTTATTATTTTCTAAAAATTTAATAAATCCTTTAAACAATTCAATTATTTTTTTTAATTTTTAATAACATTTTTTGATAAAATCCAATTATTCTTAAAATAAATGAAATTCTTTTCCGAAATTCAATTATTTTCAAAAATTTAAATAAAATTCTAGGCAAAATTTAAGTTATTTTCAAAAATTTTTCTTATTCAATGATTTTAAAAATAACTATTATTTTAATAAAGTTTTCCAAAAGAATTATCTTCATAAATAATAAAAATCATCACAAAATTTCAATTATTTTTAATACAATTTTAATCGAATTCCTCAAAGTAATCCAATTATTCTTAAAAATTCTGTAAAAAGTTCGTCGAAAGATTTTAATTATTTAAAAATTTGTTGACAAAATTCTTTATAAAATTATAATTTTAAGAAACATTCAATTATTCAATAAATTATTTATTTTTGTATTTAAATTATTTATTGAATTCTCGTAGACTTTTCTTTTAAAAATTGATTTAAAAATGAATTTCTAAATTCATAACTATGTAATTCATGAAATTCTTTAAAAGAATTTAATTATTTTCAGTATTTTAATGATGTTTCTCAATAAAATTCATTTTTAACATTTTTTATAAAATTTTTCACAAGAATAATAAAAGTTTTTGAAAAATTCTTTAAAAGAATTGAATTGTTTTTATAAATAATAAAATTTCTTAACAAGAATTCAATTTTACAAAAATTGGTTAAAAATTCATTAAAAAGAATTGAATTGTTTTCATAAATAATAACATTTCTTCGCAAGAATTCAATTGCTTTTATAAATAATATAATTCTTCGCAAAAATTAATTAAATCAAAGTTTTTAAATAATTCTTTAAAAAAATTGAATAAAAAAATTAATTAATTAATTAATTAATTAATTAATTTTTCAATTATTTTTAAAAATTTTAATAAAATTTCTTTGCAAAAATGCAATTATTATTTTCACAAAGAATAAGATTCTTTGCAGAAATTAAATTATTTTCTGAAATTTTAATAAAATTCTTTAAAGGAACTTAACTTTTTTGAATACAATTTTAATTGAATTCCTATAAAGAATTTAATTGTTTTCATAAAATTTTAGAAAATTGTAAAAAAAATTCTAAGAAGAATTTAATTATTTTCTAAAATTTTTTAAAAATTTCAATAATGTTAATAATAATAAATAATAGACAATAATGTTCGATTTCAATTATTAAGAAACACGATTATTTTAAAAACTTGAAACAAATTGTTTATAAAATTCAATTACTTTCAAAATTTTCAATTAAAATTATTAAAGAAATTCAGGTTGGCCACATGTCAGTAAAGTCAGTAAAGTCAAGGAAATGTCAGGAAAAATTTTTTTATCAGGGCAATTAAAAAAGAAGGGAAATGTCAGGAAAAAAAATTTTTTTTTGTCAGTAAAGTCAGGGAAATGTCAGGAAAAATTTTTTTGTCAGGGCAATTAAAGAAATTAAGACGGTCATGCAATACATTTTTTGTTCTAAACAAAAAAATTTTTGTCGGGGAAATTCGTTGTTATGTCAGTAAAATGTCAGGGAAATTGATAAAGTCAATCTTGCGGCCACCCTGAAATTCCATTATTTAAAAAAATCCAAAAAAATTTAATTAGGATTTTCAAAAATTTTAATACAATTCTTCGCTAGAATTCAATTATTTTTTAAATTTTAAATAAACTTTGTTGCAAGAATTCAATTATTTTTTTAAATAATAAAATTCTTCGAATGATTTTTAATACATTAATTTTAAAAATAAAAATAATTAAAAAGGAAAAATTACTAAAAATTTGATAAACAAGAAAGCAAACAACTAACTTCAAACAGTGAATATATTACCGGAACACAGCGGTTAATAATATAGAAGAAGATAATCTATAAAAATTACGGATAATAATACAAATTGTTTGTAAAGTTTAGAATATTTTCAATTTTTTTAGATTTCGGAAAAAAGCGAGGAAGTTCGTCCTGAAGTGACACGGCATAATCCACTGCAAAACGAATCGCCCGTTGCCAATGAGAGTTTTCAATACGCACAGAATTCACACACTGAATTTCGATCGTCTATTTTAACACCAACAACGATCAGGTTTGTATTTTTTTTGCCCTCTTTGGTAAATTATTATTATTTTCATTTGTTTCTTTTAATGTTTTAATTATTAATTTCCAAATTTGTTCCAAATGAACACTTCTCGAATAGCAAACAAACAGGAATTTAACTTGTTTTTTTTTTTTTTTTGCTTAAATTAATAGAAAATTTAGAAGAAAATCGAATTTATTTACGCCATCGAAGAAAGAAAAGTATATGGGCGAAATGGGTGTTGGAAGAGAGATTCCCGTGAAGCAAGGATATCTTTTTAAACGTAGTAGTAAATCATTGAAAGAGTGGAAGAAAAAATACGTAACTTTATTGGAAGATGGACGATTGACTTACCACTCGAGTTTACATGTAAAAATCTTTTTCATACTATCTTTTTATTTTAATTTCTTTAGTAGTCTTTATTTTTTCCTACAAAAATAAAATTTTAATTTAAATTCATCATTACAGGATTACATGGAAGATTCAAATGGCAAGGAGATTCTTCTACAATACGTAACTGTCAAAGTGCCTGGTAAAACTCCAAAAGGTTCAAAGGCAACAAGCAGTCATGGTTGGTAATTTTTTTTTCTTTCTTTCATTTACATAATTTTTCGTTAAAATTTCTTGATGAAACAATTGTCTACAGAAGATAGTTTCGAATTTTCAATAATTTCATTGGAAAACAAAACGTGGCATTTTGAGGCGAGCAGCATTGAGGATAGGGACAGTTGGATTGCGGCAATTGAGCAGCAAATTTTATCGAGTCTACAAAACAGTGACGCAGATCGAAAAAACGAAACTGATGCCTTTAAAATGCATTGTATTAAAAATAAAGTCTCTGGTAATGACGCTTGTGTCGATTGTGGAGCACCAAGTAAGAAAAACATTTTTAGAAAATCAAAAAATATGTATTTTCTGTTTCTTTTTTAATATTTTCTTTGATACTGATCTGGTTCGTTTGCCTCTTCTAGATCCAGATTGGGCGAGTTTAAATCTCGGTGTTTTATTGTGCATCGAATGCTCTGGAATTCACAGAAATTTAGGATCTCATATATCGAAAGTCAGATCCCTAGATTTGGACGATTGGTCGTAAGTAAAATTTTGAAGCTTTGCACTCATCTACTAAAACCTGTTTACTATAATTTTTTTTTAAGATTTTTTACTATTTGGAAACTTTTTTTCTATTTCAGCCACAAAAAGATACTTTTTTCTTTTTTAATTTGAGAATTTAAGCTACATTCTTTAAAACGATTCAATTATTTTCAAAAATAATAAAACTCATCGAAGGATTTCAAGTAATTTTAGTACAATTTTTAAATTAATTCCTAGAAAAATGTAATTATTTTTCCTAAAAGAATTCAATTATTTAAAAAAAAGTTTCGATAAAATTCATCGCAAACATTCAATTATTTCTATAAATAATAAAATTTTCATTAAATTCTTAAAATACAATATGCAAGAAAATTTTTCGAAGAAAATTAATTATTTAAAGAAATTTTAATAAAATTCTTTTCAAAAAATTAATTATTTTCATAAATAATAAAAATTTTTACAAGAATTGAATTATATAAAAAATTTTCAATAAAATTCCTCTCAAGAACTTAATTATTTAAATAAATTTTAGTAAAATTTCTCTCAAGAATTGGATTAGGTATTTTCATAAATAATAAAATTATTCTCAGGAATTCAATTATTTTTTAAAATTTAACTAACCTTCGTTGCAAGAATTCAATTATTTTCATAAATAATAATAAAATTATTCTTAAAAAATTCAATTATTTTTAAATATTTAAATAAAATTCGTTGCAAGAAATCAATTATTTTTACAAATATAATACATTTTTTTATGAGAATTCAATTACTTTCACAAATAATAAAATTTTTCCACAGGAAATTAATTATTTAAAAATTTTTTAACAAAATTCCTCTTCAGAATTATTGGATTATTTTCATAAATATAATAAAAATCTTCTCAGGAATTCAATAACTTTTAAATATTTAAATAAAATTCGTTGCACAAATTTAATTATTTTTAAAAATAAAAAAATTTTTCAATTCAATTTTTTCAAAAGAAATTTCGTAAAATTTCTCTCAATAAAATTCGTTGCAAGAAATCAATTATTTTTACAAATATAATACATTTTTTTATGAGAATTCAATTACTTTCACAAATAATAAAATTTTTCCACAGGAAATTAATTATTTAAAAATTTTTTAACAAAATTCCTCTTCAGAATTATTGGATTATTTTCATAAATATAATAAAAATCTTCTCAGGAATTCAATAACTTTTAAATATTTAAATAAAATTCGTTGCACAAATTTAATTATTTTTAAAAATAAAAAAATTTTTCAATTCAATTTTTTCAAAAGAAATTTCGTAAAATTTCTCTCAAGAATTGAAGTATTTTCATAAATAATAAAATTCTTCTCTGGAATTCATTTATTTTTTTAATGTAAATAAACTTCGTTGCATGAATTAAATTATTTTTATAAATAATAAAATTATTTTTAAATTAAATTTCGGTGCAAGAATTCAATTACATATTTTCATAAACAATAAAATTTTTCACTGGAATTCAATTTTAAAAAAAAATTGAATAAAATTCCTCTCAAGAATTTAATTATTTTCATAAATAATAAAACTCATCGCAGGATTTCTATTATTTTTTACACAATTTTTAAATGAATTCTTAGAAAAATGTAGATATTTATTTTTAAAAAATTTATTAAATTTATTTTTGTATTTAAATAATTGAATTCTCGTTGAAATTTCGAATAAGAATTGAATAAAAAATAAATTTCTCTTGAATTTTTAGATAATAATTGTACATGATAAGCGTGGGGGAATTTTTTAATTGAAATCTTTGAAAATTTTAATTTACTGTAAAATATCATAATTTACAATTTTCTTAAAAAATGTGTAAAGTTTTGAATAATTTTATTTAAAAATTTCGACTAAGAAATTGAATTTGGAAAAATGATTACAGTTGTAATTTTTAGAAATAGTTAAATTTCAAAAAGGTTTTACATTGAAGTCATTTAAAATATTTTAATTCCTATAGAAGAATAAATAAGTATATTTATTGAAAAAAAATTATTCAATTTTTCAATGTGATTTAATTGAGAAATTATGAAAATTATTATATCTTTTAAAAAATTGTAAGTAAAATTTGTTGAAGATAATTATTTACATAATAATAATTTTTTAATTAAATCCTCTTAATGAATTCAAAAAGATTAAATTAAATTTCCAATTACATATTTGTAACTGTTTTTCAAATTTTTTGGAAATGAATTTTATTTTTTTACTTCTGAAAATGATTACATTCTCATAAAAAATGAGAAGGTCTTGTTTTAAATATAATCATACTTTCGAAGAAGTTTAAATTGAAATTTAGAATGTAATTGAATTTTACAAAAGTTTATAGAATTGAGGTTATTACCAATATAAGAAAAAAAGTAAATATTTTTTTAATGAAAATTAGGAAAATGTCAAAGAAATAAAATAGAGAAACAAATGTTTGTGTTTAGAATGGAAAGAATTGTTTTTTTTAATGAAAAAAATAAAATCCCTAAATTAATTTTAGCGCTGGCCAATTGAGCGTGATGTTGGCGCTTGGAAATGACATAGCCAACAGCGTTTGGGAATATTGTTTAAATGGAAAGCAGAAACCAAATACAGAATCAACACGAGAGGAAAAGGAACAATGGGCGAGATGGAAATACGAGGAGCGATTGTTTTTACCACCAATTAATCCGAATATTTCACTGGGGAAACTTCTAATTGACTCAGTTTGCAGGTAAAAAGGTCGATGAAAATAAGTCAAATTAGAAGCTAACGATTTATAGGAAACGTTTCTAATATATACATACCTGTTTGTTTTGTTTTTAAGGTTTCTAAGGTTCCTTTATTTAGAGCGTTTCACAAATTTGATATAAAAAAAATCGTTAGCAATAATAGAATTAAAACAGAGTTTTGACGTAGACTTTTTTTAATATTTTGAATATTAAATTTTAGGGGTGATATGTGTGCGTTTACACTGTGCCTAACTAGATGTAATTACGAGGACATTAATTCGTCGGTCAGCGCTGAAGATTTACGAACTCCTCTTCATCTTGCTTGTGCAACTGGAAATCTGGCCATGGCTCAATTATTAATTTGGGTATGAAATTTTTCTTTCTCTTCATTAAGGGCATGTGGGAAGAACCCCTCGAAAAAAGTGGGTTCCCACGTGTCGTCTTATTCCCAAATCAAGGTTGCCACAGTTTCAAAAAATTTAAAATAAATTCTTCAAAACAATAATATCACTTTTTATTACGTTCAAAAATTTTTTTAGATTCACGTCAAAATTTGAATTATCTTTAAAAATAAAATTCTTTTTCGAAATTCAATTATTTGCAAAAATTTTAATAAAATTCTTGGCAAAATTTCAATTATTTTTAAAAATTTTCCTCAATTCAATGATTTTCAATATCTACTATTTTAATTCAATTTTCCAAAAGAATTGAATTATATAAAAAAAAATTTAATAAAATTCTACCTAACAATTAAATTATTTTCATTAATAATAAAAATTTTACAGTTCAATTATTTACAAATATTTTATCAATTTTTTCCCAATAATTAAGTTATTTACATAAATAATAAAATTCATCGCAGAAATTTAATTATTTTCATAAATAACAAAATTCATCGCAGAATTTCAATTATTTTTAAAACCAATTTAATCAAATTCCTCGAAAAATGTAATTATTCTTCAAAATTTTATTAAAATTCATCAAAATAATTTAAATATTTAAAAATTTGTTGATAAAATTCTTTATTAGAATTCAATTTTAAGAAACATTCATTTATCCAATAAATTATTTATTTTTGTATTTAAATAATTGAACTCTCGTAGAATTTTCCAATTAAAAATTATTTAAAAATGAATTTCTAAATTCATAACTAATTCATAAAATTTAAAAGATTTTTTTTTTTAATTTAAAAGAAAGAATAATAAAATAATGCCTGAAAATGTATGAAAAATTTGTAAATTGTTAACTGTTTCGCAATTTTTTTTATTTTTTAAAATAATTAATTTTTTGAAAAAAATGAAAATTTTAGAAATTCATACGATTGATTGTGTTTAGAATTTTGAAAAATAAGGGGAAAAATCGGTAATGAAAATATAATATAGAATAGATTTTAATCCTAAATAATGTTTGAAAAAACATTGAATCACCTGAACAATGTAAAAAATATAGAAAAGTAGAAATTTTATCGGACCCCCCCCCCTCCCCTTAAATACGAACTTTTAATATTTTAGTCGTTATTTAAATCTATCAAAAATAGTTTGAGATGCTTGCCTTTCTAGTTAATCAATTAAAATTGTTAAAAACAAAATCTAAGGCGCTCTGATGTAAATTCCACATCAAATTTGAATTATTTGCAAATTTAGTGAAAAAATTCTAAAATCTTAAAATTCACGTAACTCCGTCAATTTGTATTAAAATTTTTTTAAAAATTCCCTTTTTACGCAGAACTAAATATACTTTTAAAAAATTATATTGAAAAAAATCTTTAAATTTGAACTCTATTTTAAAAACCTCGTTAAAGTTGAAAAAATGGAAAAAAATTAGAAAATCGCAAATATTTTCAACTGCGGTCTTGGCAATTTTTTCTATTCCTCAACGAGCAATTTTTTTTATATTTTTATGATTTTATTTTATGATTTTATCTCTCGTTTATTTTGAATATTATATTATAAAACATGAAGAAATCGATCACTTCGACCCGGAGTGATCGATATTATTTTTCATGTTTTATAATATAATTCTTATAAGTTGTTGAATTTCAAAAAGTTTTGAATTTTACATTTTTGAAAACTTTCATTCTTATGGAAAAAATAATAATGATGCAATTTTTATTTAAAAATGAAGTTATTGATGTTTTCGAATAATTTCCCAATTAAAGAAATTCGTAAATAAATGTAATAGAATCTGTTTTCGAGTATGTAATAAATTTTTGGAGTAAATCAAAATATTCTTCAGGATCAGAGAAAAAGTTAAAATTTTGTCTGAAAATCAGGTAAAAACAAAACTAAATTTTTGTGGCAATCCTGTACTTGAAATAAAATTGATTGACCCATATAAAAAAGAAAAAGAAGATTTTAAATAAAAAAAAGTGATTTTAATTTTTTTATTTTATAGCACAAGGCAAATCCACAAAATTTGGATCATGAGGGACGAACTTGCATGTCTTATGTAAGAGCATTGGAACGAACATTGGACAATTCCTCTGATTCATTGGAAATGCAGAAACTATTGCAAGTACTCGAACAGGCGAGTGTTTCTGGTAATGATGATCCAGAAGTGAGCCAGTATTAATAATTATTTCGGTAGTGTCTCAGGAAATGCTAATGAGAAAAATGAATCTTTTTCAATAATATTCAATCGTCATTTACTATGTACTTACCCGTGTGATTAGTGCTTTTATGGCTTTTATACAAGAGACTTTTTCATTGTCATGAATTTATATTTTATTTTTTTTTCATTGCCAATTGAATTATTATTTTTTTATTTATTTTATTTTTTTATAATCAACTATGTTCCATTTCCTTTGATTCATTGATTTATGACATTACTCGAATGTGTAGAAGATTGATTAGTGAACCCTTTAGTTCGTTGAAGCAGAAAATTTTAGCTCGATGATAATCGTTAACGTCACTCGATTCGCGTTTTCATTCCGTTTTAACAAATGTTTACAAAAAAAAAAGAAAAAGAAAATGAAAAACTAAGAGAAAAAAAAAGAAACATGGATGAAACACATTATCGAATCGAGTGTATGTTGTCAATGACTGAGAAGTACAAATCACTCATAAATCTAGTTATATTTATACATTTAATGTATTTAAATCGTGCTTTTACAATTTTCATGTTTATGAAATATATCGTATTGTCTCCTAAGATTCTTAATTTAATTTTTTTTTAAATAATTTAAAACATAATTTTAATTCACAAAGGCTTTATTTTATTTTAATTTTTCTCTTACTTTCCCCAAATTAAATCCCATGGAGACCATTTCGATTTGTCCATTAGTTTCGTCGCTTTATGGTCTTTGACTATAATTACAAATTTTTCTTTTAGATTAAACATTTGAGAGTTTAAATTATTGTTCAATTGAAGTTATAAGAAAATTTTCTCTTAAATAAGAGAAAAATGTCTCATCTGATTAATATAATTAATAATGTATTCTTATTTATTCAAATTTCGAGAGAGAAAAAATTGAATAATAATTTAAACTTTTAAATAATGTATTTAGATAAAATTTAGTAATGAAAGAAAGAACAGTAATTAGTAAAATAAATAGAAAAAAAATGTATTTAGTCAAATTTGAAATGTTTGATTAGAAAAAAAATAAACTTTCAATTAAAAAAATTAAGTTTTAATTTAAAAAAAAATTTTTGATTATTTTTTTTCACTCACCACAGAATGGATAATTTCCTGTTGTTCGTACGGCGAAATTTCCTCGTGCGGGATATTTGGGTGTTTTCAAACCCATGAGATTGCAATGATCTGGTGTGCATGTTTCTTGCATTATAAAATTTTCGAAACGATGATTTGAATATGTCGCGTTATAACGATATCCCCACATTTTGCAATCGTCTCTAATTGCAACGGCCATGTAACGAGCTGCTCGTGAGTGACTGCATGTCGCTAAATTGTAAATAACTATGGAAAAAAAAAAATTTTTTAATTTTTTTTGCAAAAGTTCAGAAATATTTAAATAATTTTTTTTTCTCTCTCACCGTCAATAGTAATTTCCACAATGTCGAAAATTGTCGTAATATTGTAAAGTTTTCCATCAAATAAACAACCGGGTTGTGCCTCGCCTCCGTTGACGAAAAAATCAACAGTCCCAACGCTCACTCCCATTCCGAGGCCCATAAATGGACAAAATGGTTTTCCATCTGTATGTATAACGTCGACAAATTTTGCATCCGAATTATCTAATCTGACGAGAGGATTCTTTCCCTGAAAACCCGGTTGTGCAGGATCCAAAGCTGTAAAATTATTTTCGACATAAATTAAATTAGTGTAGAATTTTATTAAAAAATTAAAAAATAATCAAAAAAATGAATAGAAAAGAAATATAAATCGGTGATTCTCCACGAAGTGATAACTTTTGATTAAGGTAAATTTTTTTTTAAATTAATTTTTTTCGAAAATTTCCTATGTAGATCTTTTAAAGCTTGAAATTAATTACAGGCTTCTTTTTCTATGTTAGAGAATTTGCACTACTTTAAATTTGCTAATAATTGAAATAAAAAAAAATTCTTAAAAATTTTAATAAATTCATTCAAACGATTCAATTTATTTTCAAAACGTTATCGATATTCAATTATTTTCAATAATTTACTATTAAAAAAAAAAATTCCGAAAAGAATTCAATTATTTTCTCAAATAATAAAATTTTTCACGGGAATTCAATTATTTAAAAACAAATTTAATAAAATTACTCTCAAGAATTAAATTATGTTTCTAAAGAATTAAATTATTCTTCTCAAGAATTCAATTATTTTTCTAAAGAATTAAATTATTCTTCTCAAGAATTCAATTATTTTTAAAAATTTAAATAAACTTTGTTGCAAGAATTCAGTTATTTTCATAAATAATAAAATTGTTCTCAGGAATTCAATTATTTAAAACACAATTTTTATAAAATTTTTGATAAAGCTCTTTATAAGAATTCAATTTGAAGAAATATTCAATTATTATTCAATAAATTATATATTCTTGTATTTAAATAATTGAATTCTCGTAGAACTTTCTAATAAAAGTTGATTCAAATCTGAATTTCAGATGAAATTTTAGATAAAAATTGAATATTAGAAGCGTTATAGTAGGGATTTTTAGAAATAATTAAATTTCATAAATTTTTTGAATTGAAATCTTTGAAAATTTAAATTGTTGTAAATTCTTAATAATAATCAAATTTTTAGATTGAAATAAAATGATGGAAATTTCGAATAATTTTATTCAAAAATTCTTTAAAAATAATTTAATTTTGGAAGAATTGCAGTTATAATTTTTAGAAATAGTTAAATTTCAAAAAGGCTTTACATTGAAATCATATAAAATATATTTTATGTAGGCATTTAAATATTTATTTGAAAAAAATATTTTGACTTTTAAATGTAATTTAATTTAGAAATTAAGAAAAAATTGAGTCGTCAATTTTATTTTTTCAACACTTTTTGCTACTTTTTTTAAAAATAAATTAACGAGTACGAGTATTTAATAGGGAACAGTGGGGAATTAGAAGCGACCACTGATTGAAGAATCACCCAAATATAGAATAAAATAAAATATTTAAAAAATTAAAAACAAAAAGGTAAAAACCAATTATTAAAAGTGAATATAAATTATTAAACAGTAAATACATGATTAAAAAACGTAAAATAAAAGTAAAGAAAAAATTCCAATTACCTGTAAGTCGGCCAATTCCTTTAATCTCTTTTCCAACGTAAGACATAATATGAGCCCCTAAACTGTGACCCATTAAATGGAATTTTGACAAATCGATTGTATAATGTAATTTTAAATGACGAATTAATCTAGGAAAAAGTAATTATTAATTCATTAAAGAATTTCTCTTTATATGATTTTATTTAAAGTAATAAAACTAAAATCTTACCTAACGATTTCAGCAGCTGCGACTCTCGTGTTTGAAGCTGCTTGCAAATAATTATAAGAAGCACCCAATTCCCAACTGATAAGAAAAATATTATAGTCATCCTGCAATCAAATATTTTTTTCAGAATATATTATTGTAATCTAACATTTATTAATTAAATGATTATTAATATTAATTAACTATTATTATTTATTATTTTTAAAAATTGTAATAAACTTCTTTGCAGAAATTCATTTACATATACTTTTAAAACTTTTAATAAATATTTCTTCGAGAATAATCCTTTAATTTCAAAACTTCAAATAAAATCCTTCATAAAAATTTAATTATTCTTCAAACTGTTAATAAAATTTTTCGAAACACTTCAATCAATTAAAAAAATTTGTATTAAATTATTTTTATAACTTACAAAAATTCTTCAAAATAATTGAATTTTTTTCAAAAATAAAAGTCTTTAAAAGAATTGAATTATTTTTGAAAATAAAAAAAATCTTTAAAGGAATTAAAATAATTTAAATTTTAATAGAATTCTTTGCAGAAATTCAATTATGTTCAAAAACTTTAAAAACATTCTTGAGCAGAATTGAATTATCTTCATAAATTATGTAATTTACTGAATTTATTGAATAATGAAATTTTACCTTATGTAAAAATGAATCCGTGAGATTTTTCATCCATTCTGTATTTGCGTCACTACTAAGTCCGTGAGTTAATATTACTGTTGGTCTTCTTTCCCTATAATGCGGAGCAATTTTTATTTGAGGCCACGTTTTGATTTCAAATTTTTCTGGATGGTTTCTGAAAAAATTTTCATTTTCTTAATTAATAAAATAAACAGAAAAATTAATTTTTGTTTGAACAATAATTAATTATGAAAATAATTGAAATCTTGGTAAGAATTTTATTAAAATTTTATTAAAAATACTTAAGTGAATTTTTAAAAAGAATTTTACCAAAATTATTCAAAATAATTGAATTTCTTCGAAGAATTTTATTATTTAGAAAAAGAATTAAATTATTACGTAAGTTATTTAATTACATTTTTTTATAAAGAATTTTATTAAAATTATCAAGTTAATAAAATTTTTGTAGAGAATTTTATTAATCAGGAAATTAATTGAATTATTGTGAAGAATTTGATTGATTATAAAAATAATTCAATTCTCATAAATAATTTTTATCAAAATTTTTAAAAATAATTGAATTTATACGAAGAATTTTATTAAAATTTTTTAAAATAATTAAATTTCTGGGAAAAATTTTATAAATTTTGAACATAGTAGAAATTTTGCTAAGCATTTTAATTGAAATTTTCGAAAATAATTGAATTTTTTTGAGGAATTTAATTACAGTTGTATTGAAAATATTTCAATTGTCAGAAAGAATTTAATCAAAATTTCTCAAAATAATTAAACTTTTGCGAAGAATTTTAACAAATTTTTAAAAAATTGTATTCTTTTGAAAAATTTTGATGAAATTGTATTGAAAACTATTGAATGTTTGTAAAGTTTTTATCAGAAAATTTGAAAATATAATTGAATTCATTTCAAGGATTCTATCAAAATTTCTAAAAATAATTTAATTCTTTCAAGAAATTTGATTAAAATGTGTCTTGAAAATAATTCAATTCTCACAATCATTTTATCAAAATTTTTCAAAGTATTTAATTAAGTTTCTGCGAAGAATTTTATTAAAATTCTTTAAAATAATTAAATTCCTGCAAAAAAATTTAAAAATTATGAAAATAATTGAAATTTTGCTAAGGATTTGATTAAAATTTCCCCACAATAATTGAATTTTTTCCAGGAAATTATATAGAATTTAATTTGAAAATATTTCTATTCACATAAAGAATTTAATTAAGAATTTTTCAAAACAGCTTGATTTTTGCGAAGAATTTTATTAAAGTTTTTGAAAACAATAAATAATTATAATTAATTAGTAAATTAGTTAATAATTTAATTTTTTCGAATTTTCAATCTGAAATTGTTCTAAAATTGAAATTAATATCTGAAAATAAATTTTTTTTTAATTTGCCTAATAATAAATGAAATAATAAATAGTTAGGTAATAAAATATGGAAAATTGAAATAAATATTATTTTAATTGCTAATAATTTTACCTGTCGGCAAAATAAACAGTTGTTCCAACTCTCTTCGGTGACATTGGTGGTGGAAATGGTCTGAGAAACGTAAACCACGGATAATTGATATCGAAACATCCTAAATCGTCATAACAAATGGGATCTAGAAAAACTTTATTAAAAGAATTAATTTATTAATTTATTCCCAAGTGAAAATATTTTTTGTAAAATATATTTGAATTCTATTTACCCCCATCGGCTAGCCAAAAAGTAAGAAACAAATAAAAAGTATTTAATTTCATTTTAATATTTTTTTTTACTTTCGACAAATTCAGATGCATATATAGTTGGCAGACCAGATTAAATATTCCATGATTAATAAATTACTGCAGATTTTGTTTATTCAGTTTGCTTTTTGGCATTGGGAAAAAATATAAAAAATGCACGCAGCAATTGAATTGAATTTTTAAAAATAATTTTATCAAAAAAAAGTGCGTCAGATTAAAAATTTCCAAGCATCAATATCAATGCTAATTTTATTTATACAATATTTTTTTCAGTTAAAAAAAATTACTTAAAATATATTTTGTAGAATTATAAAAATAGATTTAGGGAACTGAAATTAATTTTTTAAATTGATCATTTCTTTTTTTCTGTAATTCAATTAGTTTCTTATATTTCATAGGCCGATGAAATATGCGATGCGGCGTAATAAGTTTGTTCACGATTATCAGCTTCATCTGGAATGAAAAATATTATTGATGCAAATTAAATGATTTTAAAAATAAATAATTAATCATTTTTAAATTTGATTACCTTCGTTGTAAATTTCGGGTGGGAAAATTGGTGTGAGACTGTAGCAAACACCTGTTGTGATTTGCGTAATTCCAGCGGTTGACGAAAGTCTTACATTCCACGAAGAAGGAGGACTAAAATGAATTTATTTTTAAAAAATATATCAATTGTCTCATTATAAGTGAAAGAATTGAAATGAAGGTAAAGAATTAATTTAACTTAAGGAGGAAAGTGCCATATTTAACTTTAAAGCTTTTTTTACAGTTTTTGTAATTTATGTTAAAGTTCAAGTAATTGAAAGTATTTTTGCATAGTTCAAATAATTTTTACCGCCTAGTTTGTGAAATATTTACAATTAAATTAATATTTTGTCTTATAGCGTTACCATCAAAAAAAAAGAAATAGTTAACCAATTATAATTCAAAAAAGAATTTTTGAAGATTTACAATAAAGATATATTCCTAAAAATATGGATTAATGACAAACTTAATCTTCAAAATAATGAGAAAATTTTTTTAATGACACTTCACGGTCGAAAAAAATGTGAAAAATAATTTTAATGAGCAAAAATTCAGTGAAACTTGCCAGCATTGAATTTTTTCAAGTTGAACGTCATTTTCCCCTCGACAGAATTTTATTACTTTCAAAAACTTTTTTGTAAATTCTTTGCAGAAATTCAAAAGTAATTCCAAATGTTTAAAAATAAATACTTCAAAAGAATTTAATTTATTTCATAAATAGTGAAATTACTTAAAAGAATTCAATTACTCTGATTAATAATGAAATTTTTTAAAAGAATTGAAACATTTTCAAAAATAATAAAATTCCATAAAAGAATTGAATTATTTTCAAAAAAAAAATAAATAAATTCTTCGCATAAATTTAAATATTTTCAAGTTTAAAAAAAATTCTTTGTATGAATTAAATTATTTTCATAAATAATAAGAATCTTCTAACAAATTGAATTTTTTTTAAATTTCATAAAACTTTATAAAAAATTGAATTATTTAATAAAAAATAAAATTCTTTTCAGAATTTCAAGTATCTTGAATATAATTTGTTTATAAAATTAATTGAATTATTTTAATAAATAATAAAACTCTTTAACAGAATTCAAATATTTTCATAAATTATAAAATTCTTAACAGAAATTCAATTAATTTAAAAAATTGAAAAGTGAAAAAATTTGTAAAATTTTTACCCTTCGATGACTTCTTTAATAATATCGTTTGGAATAGGAACATTGAGTTTATAAATAGAATTCGCCTCCAAAGGTGCAAATGACCCAATCGGCGTTTCTTTTGATGTAAATTTATTATAAGCACAACTGAATAGAGACTGTAAATTTCCAGACGGATAATCCACATGTGTCTGAGCAAGCAACATAAATTCCAAGCAAATATGAATTTGTGCGAGAGTCAATAAATCTTTTCTGCAGATTAAAAACAAGTGTGTTAAATCGTTATAAAAATTTACTTTTTAGAAATAATGTAAGAAAATAAAATATATACCTTAGTCCTTCCACGTAATTTTCCTCACTAAAATGACATTGTAATTTTTGTTTTACTTCATGACGATCAATGAGATTTGCACTTAGTAAAATGTACGTGTAATCTCTCATTAATTTCTCGATACCTATTTCTATCAGAATTTCCAGAGGTAAACTTCCAGCTAATAAAGGAGACATCGCTTTTTGCTGCATAATTTCGGATATTAATTTGGAAATTTTTGTCGAATTTGCAACATTCATCTGAGAAATTATTTAAGTTAATTTTTATTAAGTTTTATTAAGGTAATTAATTTTAATAATTAAATTCAACTAATTTTATTTTCAGTCAACAATTGCCTTTACCTGGGGTTTGTAGTCTTTTTTCTCAACTTCTTGAAACACCGCGTGAATACAATCTGTTATTAATGAGTAATTATTTGAATCTGAAAATGAATAACGAATTAAATTTGAAATATGTTCTTAATTCATTATTAATGTCGAATTAAAATTAAAAATATTACAATTAAAAAAAATTGAAATTATAAAAATTAAAATTAGGAAAAATTAAAAAAGAAAAATTAAAATTAAAAAAACATTAAAATTTAGAATTTAAATATTATAAACAAACTTTTTATAATCATCCACAAATAATCCGTGAAATCTAAATTTTGTCTGTTGGATAAATCATCCAAATGTTGTTTCAGTTTAAAGTCAATTTCGTCCTCACTGCGAGTTGACGCTTTTTTCAAGTTGACACTTTCATTTTCGAGAAAAGTATTATCTCCATTTAGTAATCGATTTAAATTATCCATCACTTCTTCATCAGACTGAAAAATTTATTTATATTCAAAGTACAAGCATTTTTAATAAAGAATATTTATTAACTATAGCAAATGTTACGCGCGTTAGGGCGCGAAACGTGATATTCAATTTATTATTATTATGCAAATTAGGTACAAAATTTTTTATTTTTAAATATGAATTTTTGAATAATTTCAGATTCAAACTTAAAAAAAATTCAATTATTAACTAATTTACTAATTAAATATTCTTGTTTATTAATTTTAAAAATTTTAATAAAATTCTTCGCAAAAATTCAATTATTTTCATAAATAATAACAATTTTCGTAAGAATTCAATTATTTTTATAAATAGTAACATTTTTTGCAAAAATTCAATTATTTTTAAACAAAATTTAAATAAAATTTCACGAACGAATTCAATTTTATTTATAAATTTAAAGTAAAATTATTTGCAAAAATTCAATTATTTTTAATACTATTTTGATAAAATTTCATGAAAGAATTCAATTTTTTAAAAATTTTTAATAATATTTTTCGAAAAAAATTAATTATTTTCTAAAATTTTAATAAATTCTTCGAAACAATTCAATTATTATTTTTTTAAACAATAAAATCTATGCAAAAATTCAATTGTTTTCAACAAAATTTTACGAATAAATTCAATTTATTTCTTAATTCGTTAAAAAAATTTCAATAGAATTCAATTATTTTCTAAAATTTTAATAAATTCTTCGAGAAAATTCAATTATATTTATAAATAGTAAAATTCATTGCAAAAATTCAATTTTTTTCTTAATTCGTTATAAAATTTTGCAAAAGAATTCAATTATTTCCTAAAGTTTTAATAAAAATCAATAAATTAATGTTCAATTTCAATTATTAACAAACACGATTAGTTTTAAAACTTGAAAGTAATAGTTCATAAAATTCAATTATTTTCAAAATTTTTAATTAAAATTATTAATGAAACTCCATTATTTAAAAAAAAAATTCAAAGAAGTTCTTCAAAAAGAATTTAATTAGAATTTTCAAAAATTTTAACAAAATTCTTCGTGAGAATTCAATTATTTTTCGAAATAATAAAATTCTTCGAAGGAATTCTATGATTATCAAATTTTTTGATAAGATTCTTCGCAATAATTGAGGCCTTGGATCCAATAACTCGCCCGACGCTCGGAGGAACGCGTAACTGCCAGTCAGTGAGCAGTGAGCGCCTCTGGGCCACTCACTGCTACCCGACTGGTATTAGCGCGTGCCTTCGAGCGTCGGGCGAGTTATTGGATCCAAGGCCTCAATTGAATGATTTTTAAAACAATAATTTTAATTAGTTTTAAAAAATGCGCCGGTATTAAATTTCAAAGGATTTGAAATTGTCATTTAAAAAAAAATTTTAATTCTTGGGTAAAAAATAGTAACAATAAGTATTTAAAATATTTTAACAAAATTACTGCAGTATTGAATAATTTATTTTAGAAATTCTCTAAAAAATTTTAATTATATTGAATTCCCGAAAATAATTCATTGAAATAATTCTCTTTCATTTATAAATTACGTCAAATTTTATTGAAATAAAATTAATAAAATTTATATTTTACAGAAACTTATTGAAATTTAAAAAAAAGTCTTGCCTTTGAAAGAAAAATAGTCGAAAATTAAAAAATCCCTTAAAAAAATAAAAACATACGTAAAAATGATTAATTTTAGGTGTGGACGGAATAAATACGATTATTATAATTACCTTGGCATTCGGATTATTAAAATCCGACGGAAGCTTTAATGGCATTACACTGTATCTGGAACTCATGTTTTTCTTCGAATATTCTTCCAAAATTGGCAAAAAACGATTCAATAGTAAAATTTCCTCCCACAGAGAATCCAAAGGACTTTCTTTCCATCCGGCCGCAATTTCCATAATCTAATTGCAATCAGTTGGAATATAATTTTCAGTAAATTTAAATTCAAATACATTTAAAATTGTTATTTAATTTTTTTTAACTTCTTATTACCAATGTTTTTGTCGATTGCCTCGATGGTGGATAAAACGACAAACTATTCCACTTTATTTGCAAGCATAAATAACCTTCGAAATTGCTTTTACTAATTTCGGAAAAATTTGTAAAACTTTCCTTGGTCCCGAATAATTCATAAGCGCAGAATGTGTCAATTTTTACCTAAAACAATTTCAGTTAATTTATTGAAAAATTGCAAAATTACAATTTCTTTTAATAATTAATATTTTATATTAATATTAATATATTTTGATAATTAATAATAAATTGTAAATACTTCGTGTGCTTTAACAGATGACATTTTCAGATGTTCATTTAAAATATAACTGCAGTTTGCAATTTCAGAAATTCTTTTTGGTTCTTGTATTTGAACTAAAATTGTTTCATGACATTTCTTGTTGATTTTCGTTCCTAGTAAAACAGTTTTCTGCTTGTCTTCTTGATTGCAAACTGCAATTAACTGCACTTTCCAATCTGGTTTTGCACTGTCCAGACATACATTTAAAGCCGATCTGTTAAATTAAATAAAATTACATTAAATTTAATTAAATTAAATAATATTACATTGAAATAAATTAAAATAAATATTACATTGAATTCAGGTAGAATAAATTATACTACAATTAATAAAATTAAAACAAATTAAAGAATTTTAAAAATAAATATGAGAAAAAATTGTCCGCTTCAAAAATATATTTTCGAGCAACGAAACATTTTTTTTTTGTTACCGTGCAATAATTACATCAATTGGAAGATGATATTCTTCTTCTTTTAACCAGTATCTCTTTGCAGGCAATACAGTTTCATTGAAACTATCTCTTCCAAAAGAATACTCCAAAGGTGATCCAGTGACATCTGCATCTGCAATTTGAGAATATAAAATTTAAAAAAACACTGTATCTATTTAGCTCGCTAGCGGGCTGAACAATGACAGTAAATTATTTATCTCGCTAGATAAAAAGTCTGTATTATTTTAAAAACATTTTTATTTTTTCATTTTTAGTTATTCAGGGTTTGCCACAAAAATTTAATTTTGTTCGTTTCTTCTTTAAATCAATTATTCTTAATAATTTTTGAAAAAGTTCTTTGAGAATTTTCAAATCCATTTGTTTACAATTCAATTTTACGAAATTTCATCGATTATTTGGAAATTCTTCAATTGTATATTAGAAAATAAAAACTTGAAATAATTTCAAAAAATTTAATTAAACTTCTACAAAAAAAAATAATTCTATACAGAATTGTTAGTTAAAAGTATGAAAAATTCAAATTATCTAAGATTTCAATTTGAAACCTTTTCAAAATTCAAATATTTCTAAAAATTCACGCTATAATGCTATTAATATTCAATTATAGTTTAAAATTTTAACTGAAATTCATTTTTAAATCAATTTTTATTAGAAAATTCCAAGAGAATTCAATTATTTAAATACAAAAATAAATAATTTATTGAATAATTATTGAATGTTTCTTTAAATTGAATTATTTTCATAAAGAATTTTATCAACAAATTTTTAAATAATTGAACTCTTTCGAAGAATTTTAATAAAATTTTTAAGATAACAATGATACAATGATTTCTATACTTTGCTCTCATATTGAACGCGCTTTTACATATTTCATCCCAAAAGTACGCCAATTTACATATAAGAAATATTGATGAAATTGCGACCGATAACACTTAATTAGATAATTGATGCAATTTAGATTTAAGTTAGTTTTAATAAAAGGGCGTTCTCTTTTGTAAGCCCGTATAAATTGTTAAATAAATAAATAAATAATATTTTATTGTTTTGTAATTTTACTTTTCTTATTATTTATGAAAACAATGCAATTTATTTTAATAATTTTATTAAATTTTATGAAAACAATTAAATTCTTTCGAGGAACTCAATTAAAATTGTATTCACAAAAGTTATATTCCTTTAAAGAATTTTATTAAAATTTCAGAAAACAATTGAATTTTCTGCAAAGAATTTTATTTAATTTTCTGAAAACAATACTAGAATTTTTGCATAGAAATTTTATTAACATTTTTAGAAATAATTGAATGTCTGCATAGAATTTTATTATTTGTGAAAATAATTTAATTTTCTTAAAGTATTATTTAAAAACTTTGAAATAATTAATTTTCGCAAATAATTTTATTATATTTATGAAATCAATTCAATTAATTTAATAAATTTTTAAAACAATTTGTATAAAATTGAATCCTTGCGAAAAATTTAAATAAAATTTTCAAAAATAATCAATTTTCTACGAAGAATTTTATTGTTTATAAAAATAATTCAATTCTTTAGAAGAGTTTCTTTAAAAACTTTTGAAAATTTTTTATAAAAATTGTTAAAAATGAAATTTTATTGAGAAATATAATTAAAATTTTACTGAAAATAATTCAATTCTTTTAAAGAATTTTTTGAATTAGTTATGAATTTAGATATTTATTTTTAAAACAATTTTTATTAGAAATTCTACGAGAATTCAATTATTTAAATACAAAAATTAGTAATTTATTGAATAATTGAATGTTTCTGAAAGTTGAATTCTCATGAAAAGAATTTTAGCAAAAATTTTTTAAATAACTTAATTATTTTTCCGAATTTTAATAAAATTTTTAAGAAAAATGATATTCCTCGAGAAATTTGATTAAAATTGTATAAAAAATATTTAAAATTCTGCGATGCATTTTATTATTTACGAAAATAATTGAATTCCTAAAATAAATCTCATTATTTATAAAAATAATTGAATCCCTGTAAAAAATTTTATTATAGAAAATATTGCGATGAAATTTATAAAAAATTTGTTAAGAATTGAATTCCTGTGAAATTAACATTCTTTATGAAAATAATAAAATGTTTTCGTAGAATTTTACAACGAATTTTTGAAAATAATTGAATTTGTTTTTGAAAATTTTATTAAAATACTAGATATTAAAAATCATTAAGTTTAGGGAAGTTTATGAAAATAATTGAATTTTTGACAACAATTTTATTAAAATTTGTGAAAATAATTGATTTTCTGCAAAGAAGTTAAATATTTAAGAAGATAATAAAATTGAATACTTAGAATGAATTTTATTATCTACAATTTTTGAAAATAATTAAATTGCTTCGATAAAATTTAAAATTCTTTCGAGAAATTTTAATAAAATTTTTAAGAATAATTGAAATTTTGCGATGAGTTTTATTATTTATGAAAATAATTTTAATTTCGGAGAAGAAATTTATTATTTTTAAAAATAATTGAAATTTTGACGAGAATTTTTTTTTAATTTTTCAACATAATTGAATTTTGGCGAAGAATTTTATTACTTTTAAAAATAATTGAATTTCTGCTAAAATAATTGAATTCTTATAAAGAATTATTTATTATTTATGAAAATAATGGAATTATTGCGAAGAATTTTATTAAAATTTTTGAAAATAATTGAATTTCGGAGAAGAAGTTTATTATTTTTAAAAATAATTGAAATTTTATCTGGAATCTAAAAAAATGTTGAACATAATTGAATTCATGAGAAGAATTTTATTATTTTTTTTGAATAATTGAATTTCTGCCAAGAATTTAATTATTTATGAAGATGATAAATTGAATTCTTAGAAAGAATTTTAATATTTATGAAGATAATTGAATTCTTAGAAATAATTTCATTATATAATTCTTGAAAATAATTTAATTGTTTCGATAAAAATGAAAATTCTTTCGTGGAATTTAGTTAAAATTCTATTGAAAATAATTGAATTCCTTTGGCGAATTTTACATAAATAATATAATCTTTTTGAAGAATTGAAGGTAATTAAAAATAATTAAATTTAATTATCATTAAACAATAATAACTAAAAATATCTTATTAAATAATACAGATTTTTGGTCAAGTGGGATAAATAATCAACTGTCATTATTCAGCTCGCTAGCAGGTTAAAAAAATATATTTCGAAAATAAAAAAGAACTAACCTGTTTGATCATTATCTTCAACTGATATTCTTTTTACAGGTGTAAATACCGCCTTTGACTATAAAATAAATAAAAAAGTAGATTCATTTATTTCCTGCGTAATGAGAGTAAATCGAGTAAATAGTTTGTAAACAAAACAGTGAAACTCACAATTTTGTGAAAAATAAGAAAAGGTCCATCTTCTAGTTCCGGCAAAAAACGTTTCACATAAGAAGGACACACTTTATTAATAGAAAAATTTGGATTTTTCAAAATATCTCTTACTAATTGTGAATATTCCATTTTTTCAAAAAATATTATTCAAATGACAGCAAACTTTGCGGTTTGCGGCATTTTATTCCCATAACCTAAAAATTGACACGAATGAAGTTGGAATAAACAGGACTGACAACCTAAAAAAAAGAAAACTTTGCAATTCTACCAACTGTTGTCAGTGATAATCGAAAACGATCGACAAAGCGCTTGTTTAATTTGTATTAGTAAATATTATTAAAAATCAAACAATAAATACTCTCCTGTTATTATACTTAAAAAATTATTGTTAATCTAGCAAAAAATATATTTAAAAAACAACAAATTCATGGTTAGTATTTTGATTGGCGGGACAAAATAAAAATGGTTCTGCGCAGGAACGGTTTGTGAAATGTGAACAACTTCCTTCCTTTCGTTCAACAGTAGAAACAGTAGGAACAGTAGTGCCTCCTATGAGTTCCAAACTGTACAGTTCTATATAGTTTCTGCATATTCTGTGTGTGTCATTAAAGTGACTTCTGATAAAAATAATCCCAACATAAAATGTCAGTGTACCCGCAGGATGCATCAGGAAATGCTCAATGAACGCTTAAAACATTGGACAACTGAAAGTTTACATAAAACAAGGTATTCATTGTTGATGTTGACAGGAAAAAAAAACAACTTTCCTTCAACAACAATCCTTCACCACAACCTCTGAAATTAGAGCACCTCTCGTGTTATTTTACCAAGTTAAATAAGATCATCGAAATTCGAACACTATTTTAAAGAATGTTTTAACAAAATTTCTAAATTACATAATTTTTTTCCCACTAAATTAACTGTTCGGAAACATTGAACTTGAATTAAAATGATGCTACAATTCTCAGATAGACGGACATGTTGAAAATAATGGCGTCGTTCTTGCTTCTGATTTCCATCATTTTCTTAAGTTTCATGACTTTAATACACACATTACATGACGTGTGCAAATTTTTCAGAATAATTTTTTATTTTCACTTTCTGGTGAAAATTGTATTTTTCTTTTTATTTATTGTGTTTTTATTTGTTCAGCCATATGCTCCGAAAAATTTCCGATCCATTTAAATGTTATGTTATATATGAATGTAGAAAGATTTATTATTCGTGTTTATTTTGAAAGGGGTTTTTTTTTGTATTCGTTTTAATTATTGTGACGGAAATCAATTCATCGACATAATTTGAAAAAGAAAATAAACCTTTCACGAATGGGTCGAGAAAATTTCTAATATTCCAGGCTTCGCACTCATTTACTAAAACCTATTTACTACTTTTTTTACGATTAGATATTTGGATACTTTTTTTTAAGTTTGTGACAGTAAAAGCTACTTTTTTCTTTAATTTTTGGAAAATTCTTTTGAAAATTTGAACTACTTTTAATCCCGCTAATAGTTTAAATAAAAAAATTATTCTAAAAAATTTGTATAAAAATTCTTTGAAGCAATTTAAAACATTTTTATAAAATTCTTTAAAACAATTCAATTATTTTCAAAAATATTTGGAAAATCTTTTGTAAGAATTCAATTATTTTCACAAATAGAAATGAAATTCATCGTTAAAATTCAAATATTATCAATATCTAATTATTTTCAAGTTCTTAAAAAATTATTCGAAACTATTGAACTGAAAACAATAATATTCTTCAAAAGAATTCAATTATTTTTATAAATAATAAAATTCATCGCAGATATTGGATTATTTTTAAAAAATTTAATCAAATTCTTCGCAAGAATTCAATTATATGAAAGTTTTTAAAAAATTCTTGAAGAAAATAATAATAGAAGAATAAAAAATAAAGATAATAAAAAATAAAGTAAAATAAATAAAATAATAAGAATAAAGAATAAAAATTCTTCTTTTTTAAAAAAAATGAATTGTTTTTATAAATAATAAAATTTCTTGGCAAGAATTCAAGTTTACAAAAATTATTAAACGAACTGAATTGTTTTCATAAATAATAAAATACTTCGCATAATTCAATTATTTTTCAAAATGATAATAACATTTCTCACAAGAATTAAATTAAATGAAAGTTTGTAAAAAGTTCTTTAAAAGAATTCAATAATTTTTATAAATAATAAAATTCTTCTCTGGAATTCAATTATTTTTAAAAATTTTAATAAAAATCGTTGCGAAAATTCAATTATTTTCATAAATAATAAAATTCATTGTAGAAATTCGAAAAAATTAAAAAATTGTAATAAAATAATTCTTTGCAAAAATTCAATTATAAGAAAGTTTTTAAAAAATTATTTAAAAGAATTGAATTTTTTTTATAAATAATAAAATTTCTTAGCGAGTTTAAATTGTTTTCATAAATAATAAAATATTTCGCATAATTCAATAATTTTTCAAGGCGATAATAAAATTTCTCGCAAGTATTCACGTATATGAAAGTTTTTAAAAAATTCTGTAACAAAATTGAATTATTTTAAAAAATAATTAAATTTTTTGCAAGCATTCAATTATTTATAAAAATGTTAATAAAATTTCTTCCCAAGAATTGAATTATTTTCATAAATAATAAAATTATTGAAATTCTTCGAAAGAATTGAATTATTTTCATAAATAATAAAATTATTGAAATTCTTCGAAAGAATTGAATTATTTACAGAAATTTAATAAAAGTTGTTGCAAGAATTCAATTATTTTTATAAATAAATTCTTCGAAAAATGTAATTACGTATTTGTAAAAATTTTATTAAAATTCTTCGAAAAACTCCATTATTATTTTCAAAAGTTTTTTAGAATTTTTCGAATGAATTCAATTATTTGAAAAGAAATTTGATAAAATTCTTGATAAATATTCAATTTTTAGAAACAATCAATTATTCAATCAATTATTTATTTTTGTATTTAAATAATTGAATTCTTGTAGAACTTTCTAATGAGAATTGATTAAAAAATTAAGTTCAGTTAAAATTTTAGATTATAATTGAATATTAATTACGTTATGGTATGAATTTTTATAAATAGTTAAATTTCAAAAGGTTTTTACATTAAAATTATTTAAAATTTCAATTCCTGTACAAAAGTAAGTTTTTATAAATTTATTGTATAAAAACTATTCAAGAATGAATAATAATTTAATTTAGAAATCAAGAAAAAAATGTAGTCTTTTTAAAAATTTTACTCTAAATTTTTTCAATATACCTAGTAGTCCTAGTTAAATTCTTGAAAAAATTGAAAATATTTATTTAAATTTCCAATTCATTGTAAACTTTGTCAAATTTAATTGAAATAAAGTTTATATTTTAAGAAATTTTTATTTTTTTACGCTTTTAAATACTATTTTTTAATATAATCGAATTTTACGAAGAATTGTAACTAAAAGTTTGAAAAATAATTGAATTTTAATGAAAATTTAGAATTGAATCAGGATAAGAGAAAAAAAGAAAATTTTTTTATGGAAATCAGAAAAATGTCATGGAAATACAGAATGAAATTTTTGGGATTTTTGTGAATCAACTAAAACGAGTTTTTAGTTGTCAAATTTAATTTTTCGATAGCTACTTTTTTACTATTTTTTCTAGTAATAAATCCACTTTTTGATACTTTTTTAAAATTAATTATTGAGTGCGAAGTCTGATATCCATAAAAGTATTTTTAGTGTAGAAATTTCTTTTTTTTTAAAAAAATATTGTTATCATTGCTCGAACTTTTATTAATTGGAAATTTGAAAAATATTTTTATCATGTCTCGAACTTTTATTAATTAAATCGAATTTGAATTAATTGGATTAAAGTTTTATTAACTGTATTCAAGTATTACTGATTTTTATTAATGTAATTAAATTTGTATTAAACTAAAATATATTTCTTTTTAGGCAAATGTTCCTGAGTGAAAAATTGAAAGTGTGAGAAAGGAAAAGCAGAGTTTCAATTATAGTGAATTGAAGAAAAAAAAGCAAAAATATTTCCTTTGAAAAGGAAATTAAGAAAAATAAGAATGGCTGAAGAGGGCAATGACGTAAAATCGGCAGGTCCATCTTCGCCGAGGAGTCCTCAGGATGTTCCCAGTGGAAAGCCAAACAGTCCTCGGTCACCAAGGCAACCACGTCGGGTGAAAATAACCGAACAACTGGACAACTTGACAAAGGACGAGTTCGTGGCCAAATGGCGTGAACAGGACTTGTATGTGGAATATCTAGAGGCGCAGACTGCATCCCAGGAAGGTACTGAGATCACGTGAGAGTGAGAGCATTTCACTCACCACATTTCTTCTTAAAACTGAAAAATATTCCAAAAATGAGAATCGAGTTTCTTTCGCTATTCCGAGGCAAGACTCTCTTAGAGACGCTAAGTTTTTTTTTTTGTTTCACGGGGGGGTATATGAATTTAAAGTGAAATTCATGTTTGACTTATTGCAAATGCTTTTTTTTCACTTTAACACATCTGTGCGAGAACAAATCTGAAAGGAGTAAATATTCTCGGCGAGAAATAATTTCTGTTTTTCCTTTTTTTTCTTATTTACCATGAAATATATTCATTTTAGAGTCTCAGCATTTAGAACGAAATGTTTCTTTCGATGTTTAAAAGATCCTCTTCATATTTTAAATTTTATACTCTCTCACTCAATAAAATAAAATTTGTGTTCAAGAAGCACAAAAAAATTAATAAAAGCTTGAGTATTCTGAGACTGTATTATTTTATAATATTACTTGATTCATTTTAGCAGAAAAATTTATTGACTCAAATAAATAATTTTTCTACTAAACCAGGATTTCCTTTTTATAAAAAAAAAATATTTTATTAAATTTCGAAAGTATTTTATTGAAAATACTTAATAAAAAGTAAATTAAGGAGGAAAGTCTGTGCCATATCTAACTTTAAAGCTTTTTTGACATTAAAGAAATTAAAATTATTTTTTTAACTTAAAATTTAAATTTTTTAAATTTTTATTGTACTGGAAAAATTAATTAACTTATTGAAATTATAAATAATTATACAGAATTTATAATAAATAGAGAAAGAATGGCATTGAAACTAAAAATAAATTTAATAAAATTTTAATGAATTCCTAACTGTGAAAAATGCTAAGAAAGGACAAATGATTATACTGATTGATTACAAAAAAAAATTGTTTATAAAATGTAATAAAATGAAGCTTTGATACGTTTCTTCGTAATTTTTGAACAAAATTTCAAATTTGGATAAAATCTATAATATTTAATAAATTTTCACGAAAATTTGACATTTTGCTATTCTCAGTAATGGCATTTTTCACAGAGAAAGATAAAATAAAATTCTTCGCAGAAATTCAAATATTTACAAAAGTTACAAAAAAATCCTTCAAAAGAATAGAATTACATAATAAAATTATTTAAAAGAATTAAACTAATTTGACAAATAATACAATTCTTGAAAAAAAATTGAATTATTTTCAAAAATACAAAAATTTATTAAATGGATTGAATTATTTTCAAAAATAGTAAAATTTTTTGAAGAAATTTAATTATTTTTAAAAATTTAAATAAAATCTTCACAAAAATTCGATAACTTCCGCATAAAGAATAAAACTCTTTAAAAGAATTCAATTATTTTTAAAAGTCTTAACAAAATTTCTCTATAAAAAGGCAATTATTTAAAAGTTTTTACAAAAATACTTTAAAGAAATTAAATTGTTTTTATAGATAATAAAATTTTTTGAAAGAATTCAATTATATAAAAGTTTTTAAAAATTCTTTAAAAGAATTAAATTGTTTTCATAAATAATAAAATACTTTGCAAAAATTGAATATATAAAAGTTTAAAAAAATTTTTTTAAAGGAGTTGAATTATTTTCAGTAGAATTTTAATTACGTTTCTCAATAAAATGGTTTTTTAACCGTTCTTATAAAATTTTTAGCAAAATTCAATTATTTCCAAAAATATTTAGAGAATTCTTCCAAACAATTTAATTATTTTTATAAACAATAAAATTCTTCAAAATAATTTAATTATTTTCATAAATAACAACATTTTTTGCATAAATTGTATTATTTTAAAAAATTTAATTTTTCTCTAAAATTCAATTATTTCTATAAATATAATAAAAATTTTTAAAGCAATTTATTTATCATTAAAACATTTAATAAAATTCTTCGAAGAAATTCAATTTTTTTATGAAATAATAAAATTTCTGACTACAAAATTCAATTATTTAAAAGTTTTTAAAAAATTAAAAAAGCTTTAAAGAAATTTGAATTGTTTTTATAAATAATCAAATTTCTTCGCAAGAATTCAATTATACAAAAGTTTTTAAAAAATTCTTTAAAAGAATTGAATTATTTTCAGTACAATTTTAATTATGTGTCTCAAAAAAATTGATTTTTAACAGTTTCTATAAAATTTTTTGTAAAATTCAATTATTTTCAACAGTTTCTATAAAATCTTCCAAAAAATTGAATCACAATTTATAAACAATAAAATTCTTCTCAAAAATTTGATTATTTTAAAAATATTTTATAAAATACTTTGCCAAAATTCAGTAAAATGAAAGTTTTCAAAAAGTTCTTTAAAAGAATTGAATTGTTTGAATAAATAATAAAATCTCTTTGGAAGAATTCAATTTTACAAAAGTTTTTAAAAATTTCACTAAAGAAACTGAATTGTTTTCATAAATAATAAAATACTTCGCAGAAATTCAATTAGTTTCCAAAATATTGGTAAAATTTCTTTCCAAGAATTCAAATATTATTTTCATAAAGAATAAATTTCTTTGCAAAAATTTAATTATTTTCTAAAATTTTAATAAAATTCTTGAAATCAATTTAACTTTTTTAATTATAATTTTAATTAAATACCTCGAAAGAATTTAATTGTTTTATAAATAATAAAAATTGCAAATATTCAATTACATATTTTCTAAATTTTTGATAATATTCTTCAAAAGGAATTGATTTATTTTTATAAGTAATAAAATTCTTCATGAGGAGTCAATTATTTTGAATGTAATTTTATTTAAATTCTATCTCTATAGTTGAATTATTTTTATAAATTATAAACATCTTTAAATTAATTGAATTATTTTAATAAAAAGTTGCTTGACTTTTCTTTTTACGGCACTTTCTTCCTTAAAATACTTATTAAAAATTAAAATCATAATACTTAGTAAAAAGTATTTTTACAAATATTTCTCATAAAGCAAAATTTACTCCTTTACAGAAGAAATTTTTTTTTTTATATTCAATTAAAGAAAAATTTTGAAATTTACTAAAAATGCACCACTTTAAGAAAAGTACCTAAATTTATCTTAATTTTTTATAATCATACTTTTTATTTCGACAAGAGCTATAAAGTTCTGAAACGTTCAAATGAACGACATTTAATGTTTTATATTTATGAAAATATTTTTACTAACAAATATTTTGTCCTTTTGAACGTATGATCTTTAAGGTTCCGAAAGTTCAAATTAATGAAATATCTTTACTTAAATTCAAAAAAAAATTTTATTACAATAATTTTGTGTTAATTTAGGAAAATATTTTCAATAAAAAATATTTCGTTCATTTGAAAGTTCAAAATTTGTGAACCATCATTTCGACAATATTAAGAAAAATTAATTGAAAAATATAAATAAAAAAATTGGATCGATAATTTAGGTGCTTTTAACTGTTTGAAAAAATCGAAAGAGAAAAAGAATGTGAAAAAATTAAGAGACAGTGGTGAGAATTTTTTTGTACTCGCACAGAATTAGTAGAATTTTTACAAATAGAGCACACATTGTTTATGAATAATTTTAAGAACTCGAATGTTTTAAAGTGTTTTTTTTTCAATACCAATTTGAGTTTGATAAGCGATTGTGTTTGTGTTGTGCTAAAATCGCGAAAAACGAAAATCGCCAGAGTGAAAAATGTGTTAAACAGAGTGAAATTGTTGCCCCATCGTTAAAGCATTTAATGTGAGTGCTAAAAAAAAGAAAAAAAAAGAAATATTATTTCTCGATTTTGAGAAATCCAACCAGCTTCCTCAGTGTCTATAGTGTTGGTGTTTTTAAAATTCTCACGAGTTTGCTTCACGAAAAAAAGAAAATGCGAAAAGAAAAATAAATAAAAATACAAAAAAAAATGAATCAAGTGTGTCAAAAATAAAAGAGCCAGTGCTTAATTTAGTGATAAATTCGTGATTGAAGCAACGAGAGAAAAAAGGTCCAACTAAAACACGAAAATCATTCTTGTTTTACGAGAAAAAGAATGACGCTTTTTTTCTTGAAAATATCCCGAGTTTTTACGACAATATTTTGAAGGGTGTCCCAAAATTCCGTTTCTATCTCTCTTTCTGTTTCTTTTTTTCAAAAAAAAAAAAAAACACCCAATTCTTTCTATCTCCCTTTCTATTTATCTCTGTAAAAAAATCTCGAGTTATCGTGTGCTGGAAGCTGTGGATATTTCTCTGGGGAGAAAATCGGGACACCGATGGAGCAACAACTCACACGAATGGCGCCTGGAACGACACCAGATTTATCAAAGTATGCGTCAATTAATGATGCCAATTGTCAGAGCAATCAATCTTAATCTATTAAAACATCTTTTATAGTGCGCACTTTGGTATTAATAGTAGATTGAGCCAAAAGCCACTTATTCTCAAAAACCCATTGTTTCCAAAAAAAAATACAAATTCGCGGCGTTTCGCGATTTGCTGTGTGTTTAATTTTTTTTTCATTTCTTCTTCTTCAAGTGCAGAAATTTGTGTCATTTGCCAAACAATTTGCCTCTGGTACAATTCTTAAATTAATTGAGTTTCAATATTACTTTCTTAATAATAATCAATAATAATTATAATAAAAATCAATATTAATTAATAATTATAATAATATTTTTCGAGCGTAACAATTATTTTGTACTATCTTCTTATTTATTAGTGATTTTCTTCCTTGTTATATTACTTTTTTCTTTAATTAACTTTTTATTATTTATTTATTCTTTATTATTGACTTTTTATTATTTATTTATTCATTATTATTGACTTTTTATTATTTATTAATTTGTATTTTATTAAAATAAAATTAAATTGTTATTTGTATTTTATTTTTTTATGAGTTTATTTTTCGAATACTTTTCCAAATGAAGTTTTTTTAATATATTGAATTAAAAATTGTACCTGAAGGTGAAGAAACTATCGAAAATGGACAATTTGTGTTAAATTGAGAAATTATTTTCTTTCAGGCGAAATTTCTTCGATACGAGAATCAGAGGAGAAGTACAGACAACAATATGCAGAAGCGTCGCATAGAGAAAAAATTTTAGTTAGAAGACTTGCTTCTAAAGAACAGGAATTACAAGAATATGTTGTAAGTTTCTTTTTGGTTTTAAATTTCAATGTACAATGAAATCATTACAATTTATTACAATAGTAATGTATTTCTTCAAAAACAAAAATTCTTACTTTTCATTAATAGAATCAAATAGCTGAAATGAAAGCCGCCCAAGCACCGTCCGCCGCAGCGTTGAGATCCGCTTTATTAGATCCTGCTGTAAATATTTTAATTCAAAAATTGAGGCAAGAATTGATTACAACAAAAGCTAAATTGGAAGACACGCAAAATGAGCTTAGTGCTTGGAAATTCACGCCCGACAGGTATTTGTATAAAAAGGAATTATTTATTTATAACAAACAAGGTTGCCACAGTTCTGACAAATCTGTGAAGTTAGTGAAAATAACTATAGACAAATCTTTCAAAATTATTTTGGAATCATTTTTCTAATTAAATTTTCAAAATATACAATTAAAGAGATTTTGAAAAATTGAAATTTTGCAAAATTTAATTTGAAAATAATTGATTTTTTTCAAGGTATTTATTACAATTTTTGAAAATCAACTTTTGATAAATTTTAATTTGCAAATTTTGAAAAAATAATTGATTTTTCAAAAATTTTAATGAAAAATCTTAAAGTGTAAATTTGAAGATGAAAAAGAATTAATTAAAATTATCTTCTAAAAATTATAATAAATTTTTTTTTTAAATTTATTCTTTGAACTTTTTCAATCTATTTTTGCAATATTTTCAATTACATCATATTTCCGAAAATTCAAAAATCTACAAAAAATAATATAACATTACATATTTTTAAAATTTTGTAGAAAACAATCATATTCAACATTTTTAATTGAAATTCATAAAAAAAATTAATTAGTTTCTTTTAAATTATAGAAAAATTCTTTCAAGAAATTCAATTATTTTCGAAAAATTAATTGCGAATATTTTTAAAAAACTAATTCTCAAAGTTGTTTTATCAGAACTTTTTAAGATTCAAGTATCTTTGAACAAAATAAATTAAAATTTTTTCTTCCAATAATTCAATTATTATTACAAAATTTAATCAATTTTCAATTATTTTTTAAAGTTTTTAATAAATTCCAGTTGTTTTAAAAATTTTATTTTTGTATATAATTCAAAAACTATTATCTTTCAAAAATGATTTAAAAATATTTTTAAAAAATTAATTTGAAGAATTTCATTATTATAATTTTTTGAAAATATAACTTTTACAGTTATAGTTACAAAACTAATAAAAAAATTGAATTTTTGTATTTGAATAATTGAATTCTTGAAGAACTTTCGGAAAATTATTAAAAATAATTCATTTAGAGATGAAGTTTAGTTAAAAATTGTAAGAAATTAATAATTACCTAAATATTTATTTTAAAAAATTATTTAGTTTCAAATAATATTATTTAAAATTATGAAAAAATTAAGTTTTTGAGGAATTTTAATTGAATAGTCTTTAAAGATACTTGAATTTAAAAAAATGTATTAAAAAATTATCAATGTAATTGAAAATTTGATTAAAAATAATTAAATTTGGTAAAAGATTTTATTAATAATTAAAATTTTACAAAAAGTCTGAATCACATTTATTTATTGTTGTTTAGTATTTAAAGATGTTAATTTATGAAATTATAACTAATTTTATTTTTAAAACAGGTGGATAAACTCTTAAAGTTTTCTATTAAATATTCGCTTCTGAAAATTTATCATTTTTAATTTTTCTTTAATTGAATTCTCTTTGGATTTTTTAAATATGAAATCAAGAAGAAACTTAAAATTCCCTTTAGAAATCTAGGAAAAACGAAATAAAATTTTTGTGGCAACCTTAATAAAACTAATTATTCATTATTATAACTATAATTAATTAAATTTTATTATATTAGCAACACTGGAAAGAGATTAATGGCAAAATGCAGATTGCTTTATCAAGAAAATGAAGAATTAGGAAGGATGATTGCCAGCGGAAGAATAGCAAAATTAGAAGGTGAACTCGCTCTTCAAAAGGGTTTCAGTGAAGAAGTCAAAAAATCACAAAGTGGTAAGCAATTATTTTTTAATTCGAACTGTCTCCTGAATATTTTAGTTTAAAAATTTACATTTTAACTTTTATCACATAAATTTAAAAAAAATCATGAAGAGTTACAGTTGTGAGTTTGACAAATAATTAAATGCCTTTATTTAAATAATTAAATTCTCGAAGAATTTTCTGAAAATTATTAAAAATAATTGATTTCTAGTAGAATTTTAGATTAAAAATTCTAGAAAGTAATTGAATTTTACAGAAGTTACAGTAGCAATTTTTAGAAATAATAAAAATAAAATATAATCCTTCAAAAAAAAAACTTCAATAATTATTGTTAAACAAATATTTAAAAATTTATTGCCATTTATTTTAATTGAAATTTCAAATAATTTCAATGCAATACTTTTTGTAAAATTTAATTATTTTCCAAATTTTTAGTTAGGCAATTTTTCAAAAAATACAATAATATTTAAAAATAATTTTTTAAAAAGAGAAAATAAAATTCTTTCAAATATAAAATTTATTTTAATGAAATTAGAAAAAATTTCCTATTTTTTCAATTTTTAAAAATTATTTTTGAGAATTCAACCATTTTCAAAAAAATTGTATTACGATTTTTTAAAACCCTCATTTAAAAATTGCTAAATAAAATTTTTTAAATTTTGTTAATTTTTGTTAAATAAATATTTAAATACTTATTTATTTGTCCAATAGAAATTAAAATTTCAAAATACTTTAAATGTAAAACCTTTTGAAATTTAATTAAAATTAGAAATGCAATTCTTGAAATGTTTTCTAAAATGTTCACTGAAATTCTTTTTCAAATCAATTCCTATGAAAAATTTGTAGGAGAATTAAATTATTTTAATACAAAAATAAGTGATAAAAATATTAATTATTTCTAAAAATATTGCAACTGTAACTCTACTTATTGATTTTTTAATTTGAGAAAGAAAATTCATAGACTATTTAAAATTTTGAATAAGTAGTTTCTAGTTTGATATTTCTTTTTAATAAAATTTTCTTTTTTTTACTTTCCTTTGAAAATGCTGTTATTGTAAAAATTATAGGCGAATTATTTTCACTAAAACACTAATCACTCTATTTACAAATTAATTGTCAAACTTTTGACATGACAATTTGAGCTCTAAAATAATTTAAAATCAAAAAACCCTAACTTTACGTGAGGACAAAATATCGCGGTTATTATTATATTTAAGTAAATAATTAATTTAATTATGTAAATTTAAAAAAAAATTAATTTAGAAATTCTGAAAATATTAGATTTTTTAAAAATTTTTTGCAGAAAATTGGAATTTCAGAAAATAATTAATTGAAAAAATTCAAAACAATTGAAAAATTCGTTAAATTTTATTGACAGAAATTTTAATTGAACTGAAGTTTACAATGTCAAAATTTACTTTTATTCAATTAAGTTAACATTTTAAATTTCTGAAAATAATTAAATTAATCGGAATTCTATTGAAAAAAAATAATAATTTTATCAAAATTGTTGATAATAATTGTATTTCTTGGAATAATTGTTTTAAAAATTTTATAGAATATTTGAAATTTTTTTAGAAATTTTTTATTTATGAAAATAATTGAATTTTTGTGAAGAATTTTATTATTTATGTACCTAAATAATTGGAATTTTTGCGAAGAATTTTATTATTTATATAAATAATTAAAATTATATTCTAATTAATTTATTTAATTATAATTTTTATTTATTTTGAATTTTTTGACTTTGAAAACTTTTATTTTGGATTTTTTGTACTTGGAATTTTTTTTTTTGATTTTTTGTCCTGTAATCAATTCTAATGTTCGAGGAAAATTTGATCATAATTTTTATAAAATAAATTTGGAAGAATTAATGGAAAAATTGATGAATTTTTTCTACAGAATTAGATGAATTTCTACAAGATTTGGACGAAGACGTGGAGGGAATGCAGAGTACAATATATTTTCTTCAGCAGGAACTTCGCAAGGCACGCGAATCAGTGACCCTTTTACAACAGGAGAATGCATCATTGAAAACAAATTCAAGTGATCAAAATTTAACCAACGGCTTATCGCCGCACACACCGCCAATTAAAAATGAATCCGAAGAAATAGTAGCCAGTGTCGATATAAAATTGAAAACCGAAGAAAGTGAGGTGTGTAAAGGTGCAAGAACTCCACCCTTGCCCGATGATAAATCAACAAACAGTGAACGTGCATGTGATGAAAAATCAGATCGAACTGATGTAAAAGCAATAATAACAACAACAACAACGCAAACTGAACAAAATGACGAGAGCTCACGGGATTCACCGGCCTTGATTATTAAGGTTGAAAATGAGGAGCTCAGTGATCGTGACGATGATGAGGAATCGACTAATCGTACTAATCGAAGGACGTTACGGACTAAAAACAAAAGTAATTTGAAATCTAGTGGTAAGACTAATGGTGAGGAAGTGTTGACAAGGACAACGAGGGGTAGGGATAGGACAAAGAGAGACAAAAGTGTACCGGGTAGTGATGAGGAGAGAATTCACAAAAAGAAACGAAGAGAAAGCATCATTTCAATTGATTACAATGAGGCCGATGACGATGCTTTGGTATTGACTAATGGCGAGACACTCCAAAGCGATCCTGAATAAATAGTTTATCCTCGTAAGAAAAATTCATACATTCTTCCCTTGTTTTTGTTTTTACCAATTGTGACAACCACCACCTCGACAAGTTGACCCAAAAGTCTTGATTTGCAAAAGTGATTTTTTTAAAAATTATTCTTTCAAGAATATTAAGAATGCTAAAAAGTCATTTGATTATTAAATCAAATTGAAATTAATTACTAAATGATCCTAAAGTTTCGAACGTTCAAAGTTCAACGAATTTCTTAAACCAATCAAATGAAATTAAAATTAGTTAGTCCACAACGTTGATCAACGAAAAAAATTTATTTAATAATACATTCAAATATTATTAAATAATTATTAAATTATTAAATATTAATTTATAATTGAAAATTTAGTTTTTAAAACAATTATCAGCAAAACAATCAATTTGTTTTCCTGAATATTTTTCTGGCAATATTGCTGCATTATCTATAATTAATTTACTTAATGAACAATTTTTTTTCTTTGATCTACGCTGTGGATTTCAACTTGGTTGCTAAATAATCCAAAAGTTCCGAACGTTCAGAATTAAATTTTCGTTACAATAATTTTCACTACAAGAAAGTAACTGTAAAAAAGTTTCTAATGTTTATTGAAATCGATAATTTACGAAAATACTTTAATAATAAAAAATATTTCATTCGTTTTAACGTTCGAAACAATCGAAAAATTATAAATTCAGAATTCACTTTTTAACAAAAAAAAAAAACTTGAAATTCAGGTTTATTAACGAAAATATTTGAGAAAATATAAAAATTTTGCCATAAAAATATAAAAGGAGGAAAATTTTTCTTTTAACAACAATTGTTGTGTTTCTCGAAAATTTTTTTTCGTCGATTCGCTTGTGGACTTGAAAAAAATCACTTTTCCAAATTAATACTTCCTCCTGAGCGGTTTAATTACCAATTTCTCTAATTTACGAAAAACTGTTTTCCCAATTCTTTCTTTATTTTAATCAATATTTATGTTGATAATTTTGAAAAAGAAATTTAAAAAGAAAAAAAAGTATGAAATACACGAAAATATAGAAAATAGAATTTTATACCTGTGAGATGACAAATAATCAAAAGTTTCCCTATAGATATTTTGAATTCAAAATTTTTAGCATAAAATTGAAATAAAAATTGCAGGATAATAATTTTCGTGCGAATTAAGAAAAAATTTCATTAGCAAATAAAAAGAGAATTCGGAACTTTTTCTTATTATGAAAAAATTTTTAAAAGTCTGCTCAACTTTCTTTTTCAATTCATTTTCGAATTGTAATTTCTTTTGTTTTTGTTTTCGTTTAAGATTACAATATAAATTATTTTTGTGGAAAATGTTTTCCATTAGGAAACGAGGTAAAAAAAAATAAATTGGCTTTTTTGAGAAAAATTACAATTTTGATGATAAAACGGAATTTAAAGTTTTAGAAAAGTTTGTAGGTATATTTTGTTGAATTGAAAATTGTTCTCTTATTTTTCTTAATTTCTTTTACAATAGAAAATAAAGAACAATATTATGAGAACTTTTTTTCACGATGGATAAAATTCAGGCTCTAAAAAAATCTACCCTTTCCTCTGTATAAAAATATATGTAAAAAAATATTAATATAAATATTCCAACAATTTTAAACGTTCAATTGAAGGAAATTATTTAATTTAAATAAAATTAATTTATTTTAATGATGGAGAAAATAATATCAATTTATTACAGTAATTTATAGAATAATATTAATTTATTAAAGTAATTAATAAAATAATATTAATTTATTTCCATAATTAATTATTATCGACGATTCAGATAAAAAAAAAGAAATTTCTGTATAGTTTTCAGAAAAATTTTGTCGATAATTGTAGGAAAAGAAAGAGAATTAATTAATTTCGTTCATTTGAATGTTTACAATCTGAGGAATATTTAACGCAATTGATAGTGAATGTATGATAAATTATAATAATAATTAAGGCCTGCATCTAATGTACTTTCAAGATTTGTAATATAAGATTGGGGATTTATTATTATAACTATTATTTAAAAAGAAATATTACTCTTTTAAAAGTGTTTCGAAGAGAGAGATTTTTTTTCGATATAATTGTATAGTATCATTCGATATTTTCATTTCTCAGAGAATATATCAATTTCGAATTTTATTTTGTAAATTTTCGGTTTGTTTTTCAATCGATGGCGAATTGTACAAAATATTTCAATAATTGGATACTTTATACGTCAATAGTAGACTTTTTTAAAAAAATATTTTTTTTTTGATTTTTTAAAAGTGAAATATATTTGAAAATCATTTTCAAATATACAAATTATTTTTCTTTATAAATAAGAGAAATATATATATTTATAATATATATATATATATATGATTTCTTTATTTACTTTGGGTGTTTTTTTATAACATTTCCAATTGAGTTTATAATTATTGTTCTGGAAAGGAATTGTAGATTGTGCATAATCTATTTGTTTAATTGTAATTGGAAATATTTGACGATTGAAAAAAAAAACTTGTATAATTTTATTATTATATTGTATTTTCATTTTGTTGATTGAAAAGAAAATTTTTTTTTTATCAACTCGTCAATTTAGGAAAAGAAATTTTTTTAATTTCCCGTAAAATTTTTAAATCTAATTTTTGTACAATAAAGATAATTAATAAAAGAGATTATTTGTAAATAAGAAAATTTGTGTTTTTCTATGAGCATTGTTGATAGAGAAATTGGTGCATGAATTGAAATTTTCCGAATTTTCCTAAAGTCGAAAAAAAATTTGAGCGCGAATTTTAAATTTGATTTTATAACAATTGGATGTGAGAGAATAATTTATTTTACTTCAGGTAAGTAGTAGTTATAATTTAATTTGTTTTTAATATGAAAAATTATTATTATTTTTTGTTATTTAAACATTAAACATTAATAATTATTAATTATATAAGATATAAGATTATGATGTTTCTTAATAAATACAATTAAATATTAATAAATAATTTATTAATTTAAAATTTGTTAATTAATTAGCAAAACTACACGCGCGTGAAATTTTCGTTGCCGTTGTTAATTTAAAAAATTTGGTTTTTGAAATTTAATGAAAATTCATTTAACTGAATTTTTTTTTAAATCAATTCCTATCAGAATTCAACAACGAGAATTGAATTGTTTAAATATGTAGAATTATTTTTGTAAATTCATAAAATAATGTATTTTAAAAAATACGAGTATAAAATATAGGGTAGAGTGGGGTAAAAAAGCCACATTTTTACTTTTGATGCTGTAAAATCTGTACTTAAAATTTTTTTCTCAAATTTCCAATTGTTATTGAAAGTTTAGTTATTAAGCTTGAAAATTCTTGACGGAAATATTTTTTATCTCATGAAAGGACTAAGTTATAAGAGTTTTACGAAAGCACTGCAAGTGGCTTTTTTGCACCACCTGGTGGGGTGAAAAAGCCACCCTACGATTTTAGCAAAACATGTTATCAATTTAGGTATTTTTATAGTTTTCCTTTATTTATATGACAAATAGTCTTATTTGAAAAATATTTTAATAAATATGAAAGAGTTTTTAGCAAGCAAAATTGAAAATTATATTAAGTTTACCTGTTTTCGATTTGCACTGCCAATTTTTCGTACCTTTTTTAGAAGTTCTCTTTAAGTTTCACCACAGATAACATATTTCGTTGCAACCGTTTATTCATTGTTTATTTTTTCAATGCACTTTGAACTACTTTTTCGTCGTATTTAATTAATTTTATTAAATAAACACGAGAAATTTTGTAAAATAAGAAGGTTAGTTTAAATAGAAAACAAGTGAATTTCACAAAATATTCAATGGATTTTTTGTCCTGGCTTTTTTACACCCAAGACCAGTTATTAGAAAAGCAAAAATAAATTGTTAATTCAGTTCAATTTCCAAAAATTAACATTGTATACGTTTTCGGTATACTTTTCCCCTTATGTACAAACATTTACTTTTATTATTCGTTCACTTAATCAGATTGTAATATGTTTGAAAAGTTCACCAAAATGTTTTCAAAAAAACAACAAAAAATTAAAATTACAATAAAAACAATATTAATCTAAGTACAACATTCAAACTAGATTCAAAAGTTGCGTATTACCTAATAGTATTTATATTCTAAACAGCTGATAAATCGGCTTAATAGTTTTTAAATAAAACTCAAATGGCTTTTTTACACCATGGCTTTTTCACCCCACTCTACCCTAAAGATAAAATATAAAATTTGTTTTCTGCAATTCTAAAAAAATAAAATTATTTAAAATTTTACAAAATTTATAATTTTTTAAAAACTACTTTCGGGAATTCAAGTATATTTTCAAAAAATTTTAATTACTATTTTCCAAAAACCTAATTTTTTCAGATTTTCCAAATTAAATATTTCAATCATTTTTGTAAAATAAATATTTAAATACTTATTGTAGTTGAATAATTCTAATTTTTTTTAAATTCACATATTTTCCAAATTTTCAATTAGAATTTTTCAAAAATACGATTATATTTCAAATTAATTTTTAAAAGTAAACAAATAAAATTCATAAAAATATAAAATTTGACAAAATTTTTAATTGTTTCAATTTTTGTTTAACAAAAATTAAAAAACTTATTCTTATTTATTTTTCCACAAAAATTAAAATTTCAAATAATTTCAATAAAAAACCTCATGAAATTTAATTATTTCTAAAAATTGCAACTGTAATTCTTCCAAAATTCAATTACTTTTTTAGAATTTTTGAATAAAATTATTGAAAAACTTTAAGAATTTTTAAAGAAAAATTATTTAATTAATAATAATAATTAATAATATAATTAATTATTTTTAAAAATTACAACGTACCTCTTTATTGAGTTTTTGAAATTGGGGTTAAATTTTCTTAGTCCACTTATTTTATTATTTACAAATTAACTGTCATAAACTTTTGACATAATAATTCGAATCTATAAAAGAAAAAATTGAAGTCATAAAACACTAACTTCACGTGAAGACAGATTATGTCGTTTATTATAATAATTATAATAATTAATTAAGATAAGGTTATGATATGTTTCTTAATATAGATACAATTAAATATTAATAAATAATTTATTAATTTAATATTTATTTATAATTATTATTCTCGCAATAGTGGTGTGAACGCACCATAAGCAGAGTGAAGTTGGCTACAATAAGAAATGTTTACGGTATAACATAACCTTAAAATGTTAGTATAAGAATTTCCACGATGTCCGCACCGTCCGCAATAAATAAATAAAATTTTACTATTTCGTTTGATAGCTACAATTAATTTTTACAAAAGTTGTTGTTAAAAATGATTAAAAATTACTAAATTAGTGAAATATTTTTACTGGACATGGGTAAATAATTTTTGAAAATACTTGGAGTATATCAACATGAACGAAGATGAATAAGGTAACTTTTACTATACATCCATCATAAAATCTAACTATTTAATATTTCTTTTTTTACTATTTTCGAAGTGAATAATATTATTTTTGAAGTAAATTTTACTATTTTCGAAGCAAAGTTTAGTATATTCGAAGTAAATAATACTATATTTTCGAAGTAAATTTTACCATTACTATATTTGTATACAAAGTTCGTTGAAATAATTTAACGACAAGTTAAAAAGTCAACCAGCACAACGTTGATTAACGAAAAAAATTTGACGTATTCGAATATTTTTTACATATAATAAATATGAAATTTAATTTGTTATTAATAACATGAACACAATTTTTCCTTTGTATTCTTTCTTAAATTTTATTTTTTTCTATTTAATTTTTTATTTTGTAAAATTAAATTCCCGGATAATTAAAAAACTGAAAATTTTTCGAATCCAGAATAAATTTCCATAGATTTGAAAAATTATTCAAAATACACAGAATTTCTTTGTGACGACGCAGGTAAAAAAAAAAGAAGTGGATGATGAGGAACAGGTGATCCAGTTTATCGCGGGATTTGCCAGGTGATCGTCATCCGCGTGGCAATCACGATAACAAGCGAAGTTTGTCGAGTTCTAGCGAAGGGAAAAAGCGCCTTTTCAAGTCAGTCAAGTGCGGGTTTGCGCGCTGTACGTTTCGTTCGTTTTCTGTTTGGTTATTTTTCTCCTTTGATTCCGATTTTAACAGGTAAGCTTATAATATACGTTTCTATTTTTTTCCTATTAATTAATGCAAAGGTTTTTCTTTATTTTTTATGTCTTTCTTTCTTTGAAAATTAATTTTTTGTTTCTGCATTAAAAAAAATTGTGAGGAACGTTTAATATTTTTTTGAGTCGCAAAATATGTCGCGATTCAAAATAATTACGAAAATCAAGAAAAGAAAGGGTGGAAATTTTCCCCCCACACAGTGAATTGTGATAACTTTCGGTGACGTGCAATTTTTAATCCGATTTATCAACTCTGGGTTGATAATAAAGAAAAGAAAACTAAATGGAAAATTTTGTTGTACACTTTTTTTATTTTGGAGTAAAAATTTTAATTTTCTGTTTAGTTAATATTTTCAAAACTCATCGCTTTAAGTGGTGATTAAAAAAAAAACTGTGGTAATGTTTCAATTATAAGGAAAAATATGTTTCGGTTCGCAAAATAACAATTTTTTTTCTGGTATTTATTACATCCTGTTTGAAGTGGTTTTTTTTTCTAACAAATTTTTATAAGTGCCTAGAGAGAAATTAAGAATAATGAAGAGATTTGAAAAGTATTTCACCTCGAGTGCAAAATTTTAATTTTAAATACGTAGAAAAATGTTGATTAGGTGAGAAAATTTCAACTGTGTTTTTTTAAAAAGACTTATCTGTTGGGAAATGAAGATATAGGAGTGATATACGTAATATGAACGGAGAGTATAACATATACAGCTGATTCGTAACAATGCAATATTTCTCTTCCGCACCTAAAGTGCAACCTAAGTGGCCTTTCAATGCTATATACCTGTAAGCTGATTCTCCTCAAGGATTTAAAATCATAGAAATAATATTAGCGTTTCCCTTTTTTTCGTGGATAATGAAAAAATATTCAGAGGGGAGTTTATCTTTTTTGAAAACGTATTTATCTCTCACACCTTGGATCAATATTTATCAGTTCAAAAATTTAAATTCTTATGGGCAATTTTTTTTTGGATTTATTTAAAATTTTCTTTACTTTCTTCTTTTTTTTCTTTTATATAATAATCATTTTATTTGCCAAAGGGACAATTAATAAAGTACAAAAGAAAATTACAAGAAACAATTAAATTAAAAAATCATACACATTCACAAGAATTTTTTTTTCTTTTCCTTCTTCTCCGGTTTTTACTGAATCGTAGACCTCGGATATTACGAATTTTTTTACTTCTTTCGACTATTTTCAAAAACGGCTACTTTTTTCGACTTATTTTCAAAAATTTCGACTTTTCTTCCAAATATTTAAACAAAATAACACATTTGAAAAATAACAATAGACAAATCTTTCAAAAATTATTTTTGAATCATTTCTCTAATTAAATTTTCGAAATATACAATTAAAAAGATTTTGAATAATTAAAATTTCGTAAAATTTATTTGAAAATAATTGATTTTTTTCAAGTTATTTATTAAAATTTTTGAAAATCAACTTTAGAAGAATTTGAATTGCAAATTTTGAAAATAATAGAATTTTCAAAAATTTTAATAAAAAATCTTCAAATGTCAATTTATAAATATAAATTAATGAAAATTAGCTCCTAAAAATCATATTAAAATCTTTTTGAAGACAGCAATTCTTAGAATTATTTTATTCTAATTTTTTAAAATTCAATTATTTTCATTACTTTCAATTAGATACATAATTTCCGAAAATTCAAATAAATACAAAAAATAATAACATTACAATTTTTTAGAAATTTTTTTTGACATTTTAAAGAAAACAAACATTTTAAAAATTTTAATTATAAAATTCTTCAAAAAATGAATTAGTTTTTTTAAATTATACAAAATCTCTTTTAAGAAATTCAATTATTTTCGAAAAATTTGCATTAGAATATTTTTAAAAAACTAATTCTTAGAATTTTTTGTATCATAATTTTTTAAGGTTCAATTATTTTCGAACAAAAGTAAATTAAAAATTTTATTAAATTTACGGAGAAATCATGTTCTTATTTATAATTAAAATTCTTCAAAAATTAGATTATTTTTTTATACATTTCAAAGATTTAATTATTTTTAAAAGATTCTATGAATTTTCAATTGCTTGGAAATTTTTCAATTGATAATTGAAAAACTATTTAAAAAAATTTTTTTAAGATAATTAAAATTTTAAAATATGACAATATAATAAAATTTTTTTTAAATAATTGAAATTTTATAAAATTTAATTGAAAATAACTGATTTTTTTTTCAAGTTATTTATTAAAATTTTTGAAAATCAACTTTTGAAAAATTTTAATTTCAAATTTTTAAAATATAATTAAATTCTCAAAAATTTTAAACAAAAATCTTCAAGTGTAAATTTAAAGATGAAAAATAAAAATAATGAAAATTATCTTCTAAAAATTATATCAAAATATTTTTGAAAAATGTAATTTTTAGAATTTTTTTCATTCTAATCTTTAAAAATTCAATTATTGTCAGTATTTTCAATTAAATATTTCCGGAAATTCATAATACATACAAAAAATAATAACATTAAAATTTTTTACAATCATTTTAAACATTTTGGAAAAAACAATCATGTTCAAAATTTTTAATTAAAATTCTCCAAAAAAAAAATTCGTTTTTTTAATTTATACAAAAACTTTTTTAGGAAATTCAATAATTTCCGAAAAATTACATTAGAATATTTTTAAAAATTATTAAAAAACATGTTTTAAAAATTAATTTTAAGAATTTTTTTATTATAATTTTTTGAATAATTGAATTTAGAAATCTGTGAAAGGTCAGGGAAATACAATATAAAATTTTTATTGAATTAAATAGACGAATTATTGGACTTTTTAAAATTTTTAATCAAGAAAACTTAAAATTTTAATTCAAAGTAAATGATTTTTTTCAAGTTATTACAATTTTTGAAAATCAACTTTTGAAGAATTTTATATTTGCAAATTTTTAAAATACAAAATGGAATTCTCAAAAAATTTAATGAAAAATCTTCTGGTGTAAATTTAAAAATTAAAATTAATGAAAATTAGCTTCTAAAAATTATGTTAAAATATTTTTTGAAAAAAGTAATTGTTAGAATTTTTTTATTCTATAATTTCTTAAAATTTAATTATTTTTAATATTTTCAATTCAATACAATTAGAAAAATTTAAAGAACTTAAAATCAACTTTTTAAAAAGAAGAAGATTTGAATAAAAACTAATACTTAAAGTTCCAAATTTGTATTTTTGAAAAGTCGACTAATTCTAAAATTAATTAATTTTGAGTATTAAACGTATTAAAAAATAATTTATAATGTTTCAAAATTTTTAATTACCATTTTTCGTTTTTGTTTCAGTGAGTAATTGATGAAAATATTTAAATTTAAAAATTATTTCCTTCAACGTTCGGAATTTTTGGAACATGAAGTTTATAGTGAAAAACTGAAAAGTAGTTAAAAATTGAAAGAAATTTTTACTAATTCGAAAAAAGTTGACTAATTTTTAAGAGAGAGAAAGAAAACTTTTTTCTCAAATAGAAAGAAAAGTAAAAGATTAAAAAGAATTTCCAACGTTTTGGTACAAGATTTGAAAAAAAACCCGATTTTCTTGACGATCGAACGAAAGAGTAAATGATGCGTAAAATTATCTTTGAGAGAGTCTAAAAGATTCACCTTCACTTTGTTTTTTATTTAACAGTAATAATAATTGCTTTTAAGCGCTTGATTTAGTTACATGGTCATCGCATTATCATGTAATAAAATTTACCACAAAGAAGAAATTTTGTACACTTATTTTTTTTTATAATATTATAAATTTAAATCTGAATTTTTAGAGTAAATATTTACATGCACTTAATCTATTATCATACCGCAATACGATCATTAAATTGTTGGTATTTTTCTTTTCTTTTTTCTTGTTTTTTTGCTTTTTAATGAAATTAGAATTAGTGTGAATTCAATGACCGCGTTGGAATTTTTTTTTCTTTTAACAATATTTTCTATATTTCGTGACTTATTTCAATTCAAAGTTATGCTTATGTTCTTATCTCCTCGAGGTATTATATGGAAAGAGTAGAACGCAAGTGCACTAAGGTGTGCAAATTAGTTCACGCGTTTTCTTCTGTTTCCTTTTGTTATATAAATTTAAATGAAGCAATATTTTTTTACATATACATTTTTTAAAAAAAACTGTATTTTTTTCGTTAAAAACATGTTTTTTTGTTTGAAAATATTGTATTATTTCTCGTTCAATAATTGTAATTTTTGGTTTAAAAAAATTATTGTCAGAGTTTACATATAGATCATTAGGGAAATAAGTAAAAAGTTAGGAAAAATAAAATTGAACAGGGAATTTTAACAAAATTTAAATATATAAATTTTTGATTAATTTCATAATAAAAATTTAAAAAATTCACTTAAGTATAAAGAATATAATTAATTATTATTGTTTATACTTACAAAAATTTTAATAAAATTCTTCGCAAGAATTCAATTTCTTTCATAAACATTCTTCGGAAGAATTCAATTATTTTTATAAATAATAAAATTTTTTTGCAAAAATTCAATTATTTTCAACAAAATTCAAATAAATTTTTACGAAAGAATCCAATTATTTTTAAAAATTTTAATAAATCCTTCGGAAGAATTCAATTGTTTTTTTTAAATAGTAAATAATTAGGATTTTTTTAAATTTTAATAAAATCCTTCGCGAGAAATCAATTATTTTCATAAATAATAATATTCTTTGAAGGAATTCAATTATCCTCAAATGTTTTAACAAAATTCTTTGCAAGAATTCGCAATGATTTTTAAAACATTAATTTTAAAATTTAAAATAATTAAAAAGAAAAATTATTTTAAAAAAAGTTAGAAAACAAAAAAGTAAACAACAACTTTACTAACTTTAAAGTTCGAACCGGAGTTTAGAAATCAAAGAAAAATATTCATTAATAAAGCCGTAAAAATTAATAAAGTCAAACCATCTTTAGAGAATATTAAAAAGATTTGCTTAACATATAATTAAAATAAGCCGT